AAGTAATCTTGACCAGGAAATTGACGGAAGTTGGCCTTGACGTAAGTTTCGTCATCCATCACGATGCAACACGATTTGGTGAGCAACTTCGTATAAAGTTTTCGGGCGCGGGTTTGCGCAGTGATCTCACAAGCGCCGCAGAGTTGGATCCTGCCTTGAACTTCTTCTTTATCGCCAAGTCGATAATGGGCCCGGGCAGATTCCAATCTCTGGCTCCACACCAATAGATGCTAGACACCGGGGAGCTTCAAACTGACGGTGGCTGAAAGGAGCTGTATAACCTTGGTAAGGAGGAAAACTCCTTCCTCGAAATTAATCGATCGGCTGCAGACGGCCTGAGTAACTAACGTTTGCTTGCAAGTTTGTTGACGTTTGTGTTATCGAGAAGCAAATGGCTGCTTTGGAGCCACGCCGATGCAAGAATCACATTAGCGAATTTCGTCTGCTGGTCAATGATTAGTTGCGATATGATTAAAATCACAATCGATAGCTGCTAAAGGGTGTCCCACATCAAATTGCATCACGAAAAAAAAAACGCTGTAGAACATTACCCATTGGGTTTTTTCATTTGAAAATTTAAGTAGAAGTAGTTTAGTAGTAGTAGTAGAAGAGTAGAAGTAGTTTTAGTATTGTTTACACTGTATTTTTATCGCTGTCAGTTTTTCGAAAGTTGGAAAAATTGGCGCAACCCGAACAGCAACTAATAATTAGTTATTGATTTTGCGCAAGCACCTGTAAAATCCTCAACTCTCTCATCGGGACATCGGAAAACAACTCGGAATCGTGCAGTCATTAAACGTTACTACAAAACTCTGAGTATCGTACGGAAGGAGAAATGCGGTCAGAATGGATGTTCTATTAGTGATCAGGATCACAAGCGTGCCGTGAAAGCATTTAAGCGGAATCCCAATGCTTCGGTCAGAGATGTGGCCACAAAGTTGAATCTGTCCAAGTCTTTCGCTTAGAGTCACAGACCGGGAGGGACTGTATACGTACAAAGTTCAGAAGGCTACAAATCGTGTCGAACGGCAAAGTCACGGGTCCGGAAACTATACACCCATATGCTGACGAAGCCTTATTGTCTCATCATGGATGATGAGACTAATGTCAAGGTGAACTTCCGGCAGCTTCCGGGGCTACTGTTCTTCACCGCCAAGCAAAAGTTTGATGTTCTGGAGGAAGTAAGAAAGTAGAAACTTTCAAAGTTTGCCAAGAAATACATGATTTGGCAAGCGATCTGCTCTTGTGGCAAACGGAGTGCGCCGTTCGTGACTACCGGGACTGTAGATCTACCTCAAGGAGTGTCTACATAAACGTCTGCTTCCTCTGTTGAAGCAACACAAGGGCCCAACGATCTTCTGGCCGGATCTAGCTTCGTACCACTATTCACTTTTTTACCCAAGAACAGTGTGCTCGCCATGGTATGAGGGGTTGCTTATACTACCATTCTTTTAAGGCCGATGAGCAACCTCTAAACGTTAACGTACGAACTTCAAATTTGTATTTGTTTGTTTTCAAACTAAAACTTTTCAGAGCTTGAATTTACAAATTGGTCGGATTTATGAAAATAAGGCTAGGCCCATGGTGTGCAGTTCATTGAAAAAGGTCGGTGATCCGTCATTAAGGATTACCATATCCTCCCTTTCGAACTTGTCTACCAGTGTGGAACCTTTCGAGTCGAACCGGGGGCACCCCTAGCTGGAGAGGTGCGCGTTCAAGTCTCCCAAAAATATACGCGGTTCAGGAAGGTTATCGAAGATGCTGTCGATTTGACCGTTGAGGTTTGCTAATCTCTCACAAGGCAGGTATGCGCATGCTATTGCGATGTTGGCAGGTTTCTCCAAGCAAACTTCTAAAATGGGAAGCTCTGAGTCAAGATCGATAAAACGAAAAGGAACCTCCTTCAGAACCCCGATGGCGACGGAGTATCAGAAGTTGTTCCCGCGTTTAACAGTCCAGTAGTATTTACCGCCCAACGAACGGTTCATCTGCTTGACTTCCTGGAGTCGATTCCGTTTGCTGAATGAGACAGAACCCCACCAAAGGCAGGTGGAGGCGTTCCACCCATCCATGGCAGGGATGTCCCAACGGAAGCGAAGGATATCCGGTGATGTTCTAGTGGTTTCGGTCGTTGTAGCGGCGGATTCGATTCCCTTGGAGTCCTTCGGGGAATGAGTTGGTGAGCCCTTATCCGTCCGAGGACCGCAGAGGTGGTCCGGCAGTTCCGGTGTGGGAATGGCGCCCGCACTGCTGATGCCCTGCGTGCCCAAGGCACAATTAGCTTCGCCTGGTTGGTTCGAGCGTCGTGGGGTGTCCGAAGATTCCGGTTGGGATATAGCTTCCGGTTCAACGGTGCCCCGGCTACCCGAGGCCATACACAGGTATACTTGGCGATGGTTAGTGCGTGTGTTCGATGTACTTGGTGGTGGTTAATTTATCTTGGGTAGGTTTGGTTTTGTCGGGCGGATCTGGTGAATTGCGATGCGGTCTTGGAATTTTGAGAGCTTGGGCTATGCGTGGTGGGCGATTTGGTGGGTCGAGATCACTGATGGAACGTTTGGCGGAGTCATTGGAAAACTCGATGGGACGATTCTAGGATAATGATCGACGAGTTAACAACGGTGTTTAGTTTCGGCGGTGATCGGTGATGGTATCGTTAAGAGTTCTACTAGGATTGGACTACAGGATGATCTGCCGGGTGCCTCGATGCTAGTTTCGATCAGTTCCATTTATAGACTGGTTTGTTCTATTTGTTGCTTGATCATGGCAACAAGGTCGGCCATGGCAGGATCAACATGGGATGTGTCGATCAGTACTGGGCCGGGATTACCATTTCTGAGTTGTAAGACGGCTTGTAATTGCAAAATCGTTCTGTCCTTGTCACGAACTTGGTTAGCCAAGTCCTCGATCCGAACTTGTATTCGAGGCTGGCTGAAGCTACTCCGGAATATGACCTCGTTCCGTTGCTCTGTTCGTAGAGACGCCGGGCTTCAGGATATGCGAGGTCCCTGTTGATCTTGATTCTTTGAATGTCGGATTCCTTGGCGTAACTGGGACAGAAGCGATCTGAGACTCCATGCTCGTTTGAGTTACATTTCTGGCAGAACTTCGAATTTGCACAGGACCTGTCCTCGGCGATCGGATGATCGCCAGTACATCTCCTACAGATGGCCTTAGCTAACCGGCATTACAGCCTGGTGTGTCCAAAAGCCCAGCAATTGAAGCACTGCATGGGCGATGGATAATATGGACGTGTTCGACATCTTAAGAATCCAAAATCCACGTATTCCGGAAAGCAGGTGCCATGGCAGGTGAGAATTAACGTGGGCGTGTTGACTCTACCGTCTCCGCTTCGTCGGGTGATGCGTCTAATCTCTTTTACTTCCATCAATTCGTTTTACGGCTCGTTCTGGACATCTCTGCAGCTTACCACGCATCGTACTGTGTTAAGAGAAGGATGTGGCACGACAACAATTGGAGTCATGTCGTTCAGGCACTTCATTTGTAGAAACCTTAGGTACTGGTTGGCACTTGTGGCCTTGAGCGCGTAGGTTGCTCCTCGGGCTTCCGGAAAGGCACATTCGATTTTCCCGTTAAGAAATATTTAGGACCAGCTTCCTAATAAGGAAAGGTCGGACGGGTAGTGGCAAACGAGCTTCCCCATTCCTAATTCCTTGCATCCGCAAGATCCTGATTCCGTCGTGGTTTCTTGCAGAGTCCATGTATTCCGGGAATCTGGCACCTAGACGGCCATCCACCGGGATCAGGATCGCCCCACCCGGGATGCGGAAAGTCCGGATTCATCGCCATCCCGGCGATTCTAGCCCAGCTCCCTGAAAAATAAAGATACCGCCTCACCTGATGTTTGTCGCCGAGTTAAGGTGAAAAATCTCAACCGATAGACCACGGTCGTGTTCAAGCTTCGACTGCCTCGTTCAGAGGATGTTTTGTTTATTGCACTTCGGGAAAACAAAATTGCCTCGAAGGCCCCGCACTACTAGACTATAGTCGCTATATTCATAGTCTGGCGGATAGAATCTCGGCAACCAATTGAGCTGTCAAATAACGGAACCAATCGAGCATATCACGACCAACAACAGAAAAGAGCACATCAGCTATTGCGAACAAAACTTCGGATTCCTTTTTCTCGTGATTCAAGGCTTACCTACGCAAACTAACACCATCTTTAGGTTGAGAAAAGTTTCCCCTATTCGATGATAATGGTAATTTGCGTTCCGAGGAAAGAATAATCAGCGTTTTGTTTATAAAAGTAGATAGTACCTTTTCAATTGTTGGTCGAAAATATATTGAATTGGTTCCGCTTTTTGATAGATCGAAATTCTATCCGCCAGACTATGAATATAGTGACTATATACTAGACTGGTTTTATACCTTGGACCGCCCGACTATGTGAACAGTCTCTTTTCACCGACTGCCCACAGTTGAGATTAACGGTGTGGGGGATGAGACTCACGCGCCGATGATCGAGTTTGTTGTTATTCTTCTAATCGCACTACTACCACTGTTATAGAACAGCTGTTTGGTTCGCACTTCACCCACGGTATAGTCGCTATATTCATAGTCTTATCAATCACTAATAGTAAGATAATAAAAACGAAGAATTCCTCTGCGAAAACGGGGCGAAAGTTTAAAAAAAAATAACTTAACGCAACAAGAGCCTGCTCGTCATGAGCGCTCTGTGAGAGAAAGTTGTAAACTTTGTATTAGACATACTGTGTAGTAATTAGCTTGATGCCAAAAGGTCAGCGCTTTGAGATACATATGTTGTATTTGTTCAATTAACGTCGAAATTTTAACCCACCTTACTGTACAACTAAATGCTGACCCTCTTTTCACTGAAACCTCTTTACCATACCTTTGCCAAACCCCCAAAGAACACACCGTTGAGGACAGATTTACAAGTTCCAGTTGGAACGCAATAGTCAAAAAAGAAGACGGGGTACATACTTCAATTAACACAAAGAAAAATTCAAACTTACTCAGAACCTGCTCTGCATACTCGAACAGTTTCGGACTGTAGGACCGGCCGTCTTGCGAGACGGCCAAACAGAACGCATTGCACTCCTGTAGATTCGTGTAGATCCGACAGATCTCCAGCACCGTATTGGCCGGATCAAACTCGAACTCTTTCTTATCCTTCACCTTGAAGTTGCCCTTCTTCGGGCCGGTCAAATTCAGCAGGAAGTAGTTCAACATCGCCGCCACCCGGTCAACCATCGACGAGTGACAGAAGATGTCCTGCGTCTCAGAAGTTAGCAGCTGCAGGATGTTGATTGTGTCCCGTCCGAGAATGTTATCGAATCGAGCATGCATTCCCAAATGCCGGAGATTTGAAACGTTCTGCTGTCGTTCGTTGGCCGGAAGGGAGGCCCATTCTCCTGCGTCTTCGGCTGCTTGCAACTGTCGAATCTGCTGCAGATTGCTGAGTGAATCGTCTAGCAGAAAAATGGCATCGTTGATCAGAAGATTAATGAACCGCAGGAAAATCGGAGGATCTTCAGCTTCGATGTCTCGGATTGCGTCCCGTTCCAACGCTCGGAAGCATTGCTTTTGTTCGTCTATTTTCCAAAGGTAATCCATTATGGCATACATCGGACGGCGGTAGTTAAATTTCTGCTCAAACTGAACGCTCTGGCCGGTCATTTCGATACTGACAAAGACCCGCAGCAGATTGGGAATAATTTCCAGCCGGTGCACGTGATTGGTGAAGAGTGCTGCGCTGAAGCAAAATCCACCGGATTCAGTTTCCTTGGGCAAAAGGCTTTCCAGACCTTCGGCGAGACGTGCACGGAGATGAGGATTTCGAATGCGCTCGGATGAACCCATGAAAACCAAAATCATGGCAAAGATGTTGTTTTGAGCATCTACGTCTACTCGAAGCGGTTGGCTGTCAAAATGCCGGGAGAATTGCAAATATCCCACGATATTTTCCATTATGTACTCGGGAATGCATCTGGAATCAATAAAATTAAATAAATCTAGATCATCTTCCACATATCAATATCAATACTTACTTCAAAACCTTGGAAATTTCATTTCTAAGTGGTAACTTCACTTCGTCTACGGTCTGTGGTGCATATCCTTTGGCCTTGTCCAATCCATCAATCTTGCAAGCTTCCCTCGAAGCCAACTGACTCAGCCAGATGGCAGAAGCTTCGTAAAACTGCAGCAACAGCAGATCAGTCGACGGCTCCCGAAGGAGATTCTGTAGGCATAGGAACTGCTGCGTTTGACTGGACAGCATTTGCATGATGTTGCCGGACACGTCCGCTCCTCCTCCTGCCAGCGCATCCTGGTAGGCTCCCTGAAGTCGATGAAGCTCTCGGTTCATCCGGAAGAACTTTTCGATGCACACCCGGAAACCAAGATCAATGGCCTTGTGCGTCATGAAGAAGCACTCCGTCACAAAATTGTACTTGTCCGCTTCCAAGTGTTCCTCATTTTCCTCGACCGGCAGCAGGCACGTTTCCTTTTCAGTATCCTTCATGTGAACACCTTTGGCGGCTTTTTCGGGTTCCTTCACCGAGCAATATGTCGGATCAACAATCAGAACCTTGAGCTGCGGTTTGAGCAGGGGCTGACATAAACGTAGCAAAACTCCGGCGAAATTCACGCTGAACGAATCCGGGGCCGTCGTCATATTCCCGAAAATACTTTGCATCTGGTGGGTGTTCCAGATTTGTCCACGAGGCACATTTGCGTGCAAGCATTTCCCGATCCAATCCAGTATTTTACTCCGAACGTCCCCTCCAATAAGCAGGAATCCTTTAAAAAACGTGTGCATCGATTCCAGATGTAGCTTTGTGTAGTTCCACAGCGATGACGAGAGATTATCGTAGGCCGAGCGGTTCGTATTTAATGGATTTTCGAAAAATTCGTACGGTCCATTGTGGTTGCGAGGCATAATCGATAGCGACAGCAGTTGACCCAACAGTGATTCGGAATATTTGATACCTGTAAGATACAATCCTTAATAAATTCAACTCAAAATTAAATCTGCAGATGTCCTTACCTTCAGCTCCCACCGGAGGGCTAGTGAAATCCAAGAACAAATGCCCCAACCGAGGATTGTTTTTGTCGCTGACAAACACCTGCAGGAATGGCATAATCCACCGCTCCATACTGACCAGCGAAGCGCTTTTCAGCGACTTCATCACTTCCAAGAACGTCGGATAGAAGACCCCCCTGACCGCCTCAAATCCCTCCTGCTCACTATCCGAATCGGCAAACACTTCCTTCACCGTTTCCGAAATGAACAGCTCTTTCAAGTTCTGGTCTTCGTCTCCCAGTTTGAAGATATCCAGTATCTGATTGGACAAGTTCTGGCCCTCGAATAGATCCGGCTGCTTGAGAGCCGTGCAAGCATTCCTCAAAATCAGTCCCTTCATCTTCTGGCATGTGTCGGTCGCGATGGAATCGTTCTGGTTCCTCGTTCGCTCGTTTCTCACGTAACATCCATACAGATATAGTACAACCTTAGTTTGGGCAACGTCCTCCGTTTCCGCCGTCGTCACATTATTCGGAATCAAATAGTCCGTCGGATTGAACAGAAGGATCCTCTCGAACAGTGCTTGCTCCAGCAGTTCCAGATTGAGCAGAGCTGGGTCGCCACATCCCTGGGCCACTTCCTCCATGAACACCAACTGCTGCCGGCTGCGTGCACTCTTCGGGGGATTCTTGCTCAACGTAATGAGAAATACCTTCTCAATCAAGCAATTGATTTTAGTATTCAGCGGATTGCCCTGGTGATCATCCATTGTTGTTTTGGATTTGGTTTGACCTTCACGAACTGAAAACTATAATCCACTACCCTGACTCAATCACTGTTCTAAACTACTTGGTTAACTTAACTTGATGAAGCAATCATTCACCATTCATTGTTCTACACTAATAGAAGAAATTTTACTATTTAAAATCGCGAAAGTATCGAGAAAAATACTTGTCTTTTAATGATTAGTGGAGGAATGAGTTGGAGAAAAAAATTCGCTGACGGAAAATGATTCCGAGGAGAAAAGCGAGAAAAGTCATTGAGCGTGACGTTCATGGTGACCAGTGTTGCCACTTTTTTTTCTATTTTCAATCGTATTTTCACCGTATCAAATCATTTTATTCCGAAGTAATCTGTTCTACGAATTTCAATAAAATTTGCTTAATTTTTTCGAATTTGTTTTGGATACATTATGAATTAACACGTGCCTTTCGATAATATTCGATTTCATCCACTATTCATCGATAATCTTGAATATGTTACAATTGGGTTGTTTAGGGGTATTGAGGTAAATACATATTCGTTATCTGCATTAAAAATGGAACTGAAATCCAAAATTTCATCAATTTTGGTACACTGGAACTATTTTAAATAAGTACGATTACATTGGCAAATTTTAGCGCCCCTTGGTGGGACTTTGTATGGGAATGAGCTGTCAACGAATAGATTTTGTGTCAACAATCAAAAATTTAAATCTTGATTTAAAAATCGAAATGAATGTCTACAGGATCGATAAAAATATGATTGTGCTCAGATCAGATGATGTATAAAAATCGGTATATTTTTCGAAATCAAACAACGCAATTATCGAGCATTATGCTGATATTATTTTTTAGTGTGAATCGTGATGTGAACTGTCACTTCCTGAGCACCTGCTTTTATGATTGTTAAAGTTCCGACCCTGGAAGCAACGAAAATATCTGCTCGGAGGGTTGATGACCTAATTGACTACCGGCATTGATGGCCAAACGTGACCAAACCATAGGTGCCGCATCGATGCTTATGTTCACCGGATGCCAGGGTAGTTCAAATCATAGTCCGTGATCTTGAAGCGACTATACCCAAGGCAAAGATGAATGCAGTTCCTCTTTTTTTAATATTTCTTGAAGACTTCCTCCCTTAGCTCAGTCGGTAAAGGCGCAGCTACAAAGCAAGACCATGCTGGAGGTGGCTGGGTTCGATTCCCGGTCCGGTCTAGGAATTTTTCGGGTTGGAAAATTTCTCGACTTCCCTGGGCATAGAAGTATGATTAAATTTGCCACACAATTATACCAATGCAAAAATGGTACAGGCATCGAAAGCTCTCAATTAACAACTGTGAAAGTGCATCTAGAACACTAAGTTGAGAGCACGCAATAAGCTAATATGCGATATGCAATAAGCTTGAAATGCGAAGAAGAAGAAGAAGAAGAAGAAGAAGAAGAAGAAGAAGAAGACTTCCTTTACATGATGGTTATGTTGGTTTGTGTGGGCGTGCCTTGAATTTCTATAGTAATCATCGAGAGAAGTCATTGTTTACAAAAGCTGTTACCCACTTCTTCCAGCTCTATCTATAGATTTGTTTTAGAACAAAGATTTTTCAGCTCGACCAACAATACAGAAAGGCGGATCAAACAAATTGTAATGACCTTATCTCGCATACCGAAGCTCAACTATCTAATCGAACACCACTATCAAATAGCAGAGAATTTTCCCTACCTGATAGTGTTGTTGGTTTGGCAAGACAAGCTTCGGTTCACGAGGAAAGAGCATTAAAAGTTTGATTACAAAAGCTTATTCGCCTTTTATGTGGACCGTACACGATTGTTTTTATTGAAAATAATCGTATTGTCAATACATTTAATATTGACGTCAAAACATCGGTATTGACAATATTTCTGTATTCACATCATCAATATTAATGTCAATAATTCCCCTTCGCGTCAATACGTGTGGGGTTTGCTTTAGTATTGTTGGTCGAGATTTCGCGATGTTCCTTTCTTATAAACAAACGGGTGTCACCGTTACTTGTCATGATAATTATAGAGATGTGATCTTATAACAGAGATGCGAACGATACAAACATATATTGTCGCTAGACTTGAAAACCGAAATGACCAACTCGCGACAATCGATTTTACTCTCGTTATGTACGTTAAACATAACGTCGCATCGAGTGCGCTGTATTCGTCAAATGATGGGGGGACACCCCTCACCATCCCTCTCCAAAGGGGGAGTTTGGTAAAGAGAGATGAAAAAACCAGCTAGGTGGCAGCCTCGGTGGCAGCCCTATCTTGTTTGCCTTGCCTTGAAAAGAGCTAACATCGCTGCGGGCCCGCGAATCATGGGCCCCACTGACAGCTCATAATTTGTAAACAAATAGAAGATTCAATCCAGAATTTCAAAAAAGGCGTGACTGATATTTTAGATATTCTTATTTTTTTGCTTACATTTTGTGAAAAATAAACTAAAAACTTATAAAATATTATTTCTGATTTTCTACCCCGAAGTCAACTATTTATATGGCATAAAAGGGTACATAATTCATTTGATAAAAATAAGACAGTTCAGTCACGCCATTTTTGCAGTTCACACTTGAATTGTGACGTTTTAGATGTTGCTTTCAATAACATGGCGGCATAGCACCCAGCTGGGAAAAAACCGATTTGTACCTTCCTTAAAAGTTGTCCTAGCTCGCTATAATACCAACCGGTGAACACTCGTGTTTATTTCAGTTAACATGGAGATGTAATTTGTGATTAGCCCCGGTCCCTTTCAAATTGTATCATTATTTATGAACGGCCTTATATTTGAAATTACGTTTCACATTCATCTAGTGATGTCCGATTTTCATTCGAATAATCGTTTAATCGATTAACGAACCGAAAAGTAAACTATTTATAATCGGTTAGATCATGCCGATATAAGCATTAACATCTCCACAGGATCATCACCGATCGTTTCAAATATGTGCTGCACTCTCTCTGGTGGAAAAATCTCGATGAATTTTTCAAAGGGACGTATCAGCTTTTGTAAAGAATGCATTTGATCTAGGGGCATCTTACTCTAAACTTTGTATTTCTAACGATGTACTTATAAATTTCTAGCTGATATCTTAGATACCTATAAATACTTTAAAATTACTTAAGAAATACCTAGTACTAGATTACTTCCCTGGTTGCTAGACAAATTACTGATGTTTGTTTACTCAATGTCAGGGATTTTATGTGTCAGGTTGGATTTTGTGCATTGCGAGCGTTAAAGTATTTAGTGAATAAATCATACAAAAGAAGAGATTAACACCTTCAGAGGAAAGGTCAATTATGAGTTTCCGTTTATGAGAATGTGTCTTTTTTCTGACATAAGAGAAAATTTAAAAAAATCTGCTTTCCAGCTGCACCGATTCTCAACCTGAAGTACCCGTCTCTCTTTTTTAAGTAGCTATATTTGCGATAGTATTTGAGCAAACACACTTTTCTGAACAAGTTTCATTATGATATTCACTCTTATTCCCTATTTGGATCGAAATAGATTTGTCATAAGTATTTTTATTGAAAATTTGTTTCAATCAAAATAAGGGTAGATAGGTATTACATATATCCCAAGTAACAATTTCGGTTTTATAGGGGTTATCTAGACCATGATTTAGACTTGAAGCATGCTTTAAAACCTCCATAAAACTTGCAATGTTACTTGGGATAGATAGAAATAGATAAGTGACTAATTTGAATCCATTGATCAAATTCAGTATTAGGCAAACATGTGAAAGAGGGCAGTGAGCCAAATGTAAACCAAAGTCATGGTTTATTAAATATATATATTTGTGTATTTTATTTGTCAAAGCTCTTTTGCATAAGCTTCAAAAAAGCCGAAGTTCAATTTTAGATTAACAGAGTTTTCTTAAACCTAATGTTAGTGGACCGAGGGCCGATTACTCAAACAATTGGGTAAACAGGTGGAAGTTCTCGGGATTTCACTGAAGTCCCCATACAGGTCTGCATAATTGACATCGTGCCGTATCCGAATTGACTCTGTCATCGTCCTCATGTCTTCTTCCAATTGTGATATAGATTTAGACTTCAAGAGCGCTATGGTTAGGCTACCTGAAAATGATAGTACGTCCAGCAGCTATTTCATCTTTACAGGAAATTCACTAAAGCCCCGTTGAATGATGTCTGCAAATAAAATATTTAATATAAAATGAGTAGTAGCAGTAGTCAATTAAATTATATTCAACTCCTCAAAATACCTATTTTATTCAATCAGTATGAATCAGTAGCTCTTCGGTAGACATTTTGCAAAATTCACGTGTAAAAATGTGATGTTTGACATCGACATGAAAAACAATTGCACTAGAAACCGATGTTATAGCCAAGACTTACTATGATCAAAATAACGTCAAGATAAAAATATTTGAAAATACTTAAAAATACTTAAGAGAGATTTAACAAAACCTAATGAGTATTGGAGCTAAAGTTTAGAGTGGGATGTCCCTAGCATTTGATCGTTGATTTGGCGTAACTGGTAGCTCGCCCACGCATGCTAACACTACCATCAGATAGGGGAAATTTTCCCCTACCTGCTAGTGGTGTTAGTAAGCGTGTGCAAGCTACCAGTTACGCCAAATCGACGATCAAATGCATTGTTTACAAAAACTGATACGTCCCTTTGAAAAAGTTATCGAGAAACGGCAGCACAACGAACAAAAAATAATCGATTAGTTGTTAATCGAGTAATTAAAAAATGGGACATCTCTGATTTTGGTGTGATTGTTTTGATAAAAATGAGCGAAAAATTTCATCTCTTCCGAGGGGGCAGCAAAACCACAACATTACCTTGAATACGGGGGGTTCGCATTGGATGAAAGGGACCGTGAAAGAAGACAGTTAAATAGAAAGTTTTTCTTCCGACAGTTTCATCTTAGTATTCATCTTTGATAATACCACAAACGAAGTGACAGACGACTAACTGGCGAAGAAATCCATTTAAATAATGTGGTTCACTGTAATAGAATTTTCTTGGAAGCTTGTGCCATCATCCACCAGATGGGCTAGTTTTTTTGTTTTGATTTGAACAAAGTTGATTTTGTGTACAATGATTCTTTGACAGTGTGCAAAGAGTGCGTATCATTTTGTCATTTTTTATGCATTTCAGTTTTGAGTAGAGCGAACGAGATAGAACCAAAACATTCTAGTACATTCGGTGAAAATGCTAGTTCAATCTAGTAGTAGTGTTGCCATGTGGTACAATCCAGTAGTAGTGGTGTTGCCATGTGGTACACTGAAAAATTGCAATAGCAGGTTAGTCACCAAAGTTTTCGAGCCGCTCCGTCTGTCACTTCGTTTGTGATAATACTATTTCTATGCAATTTTCACACTGCCGTATTCTAACGGAACTATCAACTCTATGCTTTCATCTACTCCATCTATCGTATAAAAATAACCACTACAGTCTGTTATTTGAAATTAGCATCTTCAACTATGTAAATCGTTGACTTCACGTAGAAGTAATACTTAAACATATAGTCAAAGTAAAAATTAATGATTTTATTCATGTGTTTCACTTATCCATTTTTGCCAAAATATCAGGCTTATACATTTCATAAACAAACCACATTGGTCCTATAAGAATGCACACACGGTATTCGGTGAAAAATTACAGGAAATCTGTGAAAAATCACTTAACTGTCACTTAGCTGTTGTGATTTCGGTAAAATTTCACAGATTTCGGTGAAATAATCTTAGTGTGTTCACTTACAAAAAATGTTAATACATAAGGTTAAAACTTTATGACCAAACGTCCATGTAAAGTTCCACAACCATTTCAGTTAAAGTTAAGCAATGTTTAACCATTTTGTGAATGATCAAGTAATGGTTCGCATTTATGCGGGTACCGTTCGATGGTTTATTTTTCTTGACAGAGCGAGACGTGGGACTTTCTCGTGTGAAAGACAGAAGTGGAAGAGAATGCAAAGTACTATACGAGAGCCACACAGAGAGACGTTTATAGAGCTTTTTGATGTTTAATCGACGCACACTACTGCACCATTTAAATGGAATGAGCGAATGAGCGCAAGCAAGAGGGAAACAAATTAGTGGAAAAACAACCAAACTTTCTTTTTCTCGTTCTTGCCTGCTACACCAACCGGTCAGCGCACTCGGTATGTATTTCAGTAACCGTGGGGGCAAACCAGCCCAAGGCTGAAAGCCTCCCTAATAAAGATAAATTAATTAATGTATTTCAGTAACCGTGGGGGCCTAATTTGTGATTTGCGCCAGTCCCTTTCAAATTGTTTCATTATTGATGAACCCGTATATTTGAAATGAAGCTTAACATTTATGTAGGGATGTCCAATTTTCAATCGAGTAACAAACCGAAAAATAATATATTTATAATCGGTTAAATCATGCTGATATCGAGGCCGATATAAGCATTAACACCTCCAGAGGATCCTCACTCATCGTTTCAAACATATTCTGCACTCTCATTTGTGGAAAAATTACAGCACAGCGAGTAAAAAATAATCGATTGCACACATAGAAAAATTCATGTAAATTTAGGTGCTCTGAGAAAGACATATCCGAGCGTCAATTTTGACATAAGTTTGAGTCATAACAGACGTAAAATATAGCTTAATCAAACGTACTTTTCGTCGAACAACGAACTTTTCAGTCTAGGAGCACTTAATATTACATGACACGTTTGTTTATGTTGAGGTTTACGCATCATCTTTTCTGTCAAATGCAAATGCACCGTCGTGTTTGAGATCGATTCAAAAAATCGATTAATCGAACCAAAAGAATCGATCTTTCGTGTTTCGATCCAGGGTCGGCCATTGCTAGTCAGTTTCCTTTTTTTTATTTAAACAATAAGAAAAGGAAACAAATATCCCTCCGAATGAGAAACCAGAATTCAGAACATATCTCGATTACTTTTTCGAAGGGATGTATCAGCTTTTGTAAACAATGCATTTGATCGTCGGTTTGGCGTAAGTGGTAGCTCGCTCACGCATACTAACACGTGCTAACACCACTATCAGGTAGGGGAAAATTTCCCCAATCTGATGGTAGTGTTAGGATGCTTAGGCGAGCTACAAGTTACGCCAAATCGACGACCAAATGCATTGTTTACAAAAGCTGATACGTCCCTTTGAAAAAGTAATCGAGATATGAACATCAGAAGTCCTTTCAAAATTACCGAACATAATAAAATAATATTTAATTAACAGAAAAAATGCGATTTGGGATTGGTGGTCGAAGTGGGTCGAAGAGTAAATTCAACCGGCTCAAAAGTAAGAAACGATTATTTATCGGAATTAATAACTATAATAAAGAATGAAAAATATTTTTCACTAATTTGAAAAATCCGTAAAATCAAAATATTGATAATCTGTATTTGTGGCATCACTGATTGTGACATAATTTAGATAGTGACTTTCAGATCGAGACAGGCGCATTCCTCATCTAATCAAAAGCGCTGAGCATCACCGATGATGTTCACATAACAAAGTGAGCACCGGATAGGGGTTCATGGGGTAAAATGCATCAGTTAAGGAAATCAAGGTGTTTTCTCGCTAAAATCAAAATCAACATTGAATATCATGTTGTTGAATAAATTATCTTAACCAATATTTAGTTGCTTATGTTCGCATTTATACATGAAAACTTTGAAAACATACCGTAAAAAGTAGTTTTTGAAAATGATGAAATAACCTGGAAATGTCACTAATCGGAGCAAAATGCTCCCATGCTGGGTTAAAATCCACTGCAACAAAGGGGCATATGACTCTCCTTGCCATCTTATGAGTTATGATGATCAATAGTCCACCCGCATAACCGCGAACCATAAATTGACCCTACCAAAAAGGGTTAGACATTGTTTATAATCCCTGCTAAACTTCAACTGAAATGGGTATGGAACTTTACATGAACGTTTGTGTGATAAAGTTTTAACCTTCTGTATTATATTTTTTTAAGTGAAGCTTACAAATAATTTGTTGTTAAGAACCATTACCATTTCAAACTTTTGTTCTCTCCATACATTTTCAGAAATGGAATTATATTAAATCCTTTTATTTATGATTTGAGACATTTAATGGAAATGGTTATGGTAATCAGTGAGGTCCATGGACACCAGCAGCAGCCGTTTATTCCCGTTTCGACCGCTCAGCAGCAACAGTATGCGCCCCACCAATTAGGGTTGTTGGTTCTGCGGTGCATTTCACTACGTTCGGGAATGCAGCTACAAAAACCACAAATGTTCTGACTGTGACTAGTTCGGACATCGTGAGGGTACCCGAACAGTGCCAAGTCCCGAAAATCTGGAGTGAGGCGCAAGAAGCAAGCAATGTCAGCCAAGGTCGTCGACGTGTGCAGTGTGCAGTGTGCAGCAGCGACGCAGATTTGTTTCCGCTAGCCTTTCCGGAACGGATATTCGCCTGCAACTCGACACCGCCTCAGACATCACCGTCATCAGCAGAGAGATTTGGCGGAAACTTGACAGTCTTGCGTTATCTTCGGCAACGATGAAAGCGAAAACGGCATCTGGCAGCATCCTATCGCTCGACGGAGAATTCGAGTGCGACGTCACCATCGGAAGCAACACACGACGTGAGCTCATCCGTGTCACCGAGAAGCAGCTGCAGTTACTCGGATCCGATTTGATCGACAGTTTCAACCTTAGGACCGTGCCAATGGACACCTTCTGCTGTCACGTGTCAGGATTACCAGCGTGGACAGCTGCACTCAAGTCGTATTTTCCGAAGGTCTTCAGCGCGCAGCTCGGCTTGTGCAGCAAAACGAAAGTGAAGTTGGAGCTGAAAGAACACGTTCGACATCTTCGCCAAGCTGGCTAATTCCAAGATCTTCAGCCAGATAGATTTGTCCGATGCCTTCTTGCAGGTGGAAGTCGATGAACAGTACCGTAGTTTGCTTACGATCAACACTCATCGTGGCCTTTACTTGTGCAACCGCCTCCCGCCTTGTGTGAAGATTGCGACTGGTGCGTTTCAGCAGCTCATCGACACGATGTTAGCCGGGCTCAAGGGTACCTCTGGCTATCTCAATGACGTCATCGTTGGCGGTGAAACGGAAGAGGAGCACGACCGCAGCCTACGGGAAGTTCTACAGCGTATCCAAGATTTTGGATTCACGATCCGAGTCGAGAAGTGTACGTATCGCAAGCAGCAAATCCGTTACTTGGGGCACATTGTCAATAATCGTGGGCTACGCCCGGATCCGGTCAAGGTCTCCAACCGATGAAACCGGTGTGCGATCGTTGATGGGAGCCATTAACTACTATGGCAAGTTCGTCCCCAACAAGCGTCTGCTACGCTACCTGCTTGACAATCTCCTCAAGACAGAAACGAAGGTTCACTGGAATCCAGAGTGCGAGAAAGCCTTTGAGCAGTGTAAACAGATTCTCTCCTCGGATCTTCTATTCACACACTACGATCTGAAGCGGGAGATCATCGTTTCTGCTGATGCTTCTTCCGTTGGACTCGAGGCAACCATCAGCCACAGGTTCCCCGACGGTACCATAAAGGTCGTCCAACACGCATCCAGGGCTCTCACGAAGGCAGAGCAAGTCTACAGTCAGCCCGACCGTGAAGGTTTGGCCATCATCTTCGCCATTACGAAGTTCCACAAGATGCTCTTCGGACGGCACTTCCGGCTTCAGACCGATTATCGCCCTCTGCTTCACATCTTTGGTTCCATGAATGGAATTCCAGTCTACACTGCGAATCCAACGCTTTGCTCTCAACTTGCTGTCCTACGATTTCGACATCGAGTACGTGTCCACCGAGAAGTTCGGCAACGCAGACTTGCTCTCGCGGTTGATCAACCAGCACGTCAAGCCTAAAGAGGACTACGTCATCGCGAGCCTCAACCTGGAAGAAGATCTCAGGTCAGTTGTATCTAATTCAGTTAAAGCAACAATCAATACGAAACTATCGATTTTAAATTGGCTCACTAGTTGACTAGCCTATTGGTCCCAAGCAAATCGATTAACTTACCCCATTCTAGTCGAGATTCTAGTACTACACAATGTTTGTTTTGATTCACTATGAAAGTTTGACAGATAAAATGAGGGGTTAGTGGATTTTCCTATGTTTGGAGGGATGAATCGATTAGCTTGGGACCGAAGATAGTACCAGAGCTGAGCAAAATGTTGAGCACGTTTCAACGGGACCTACTAGTCTTAGAGTTACCTCTATGGTTAAAGTGTTGCCTCTCAATTTCAGAGTCGTCGCGCAAAGCGCCCAAGCAGATCCAAGTCCATCGCTACGTCCAAAACGGCTGGCCCCAGTCTAAACTCGACGGGTCAGACCTTCGTCGGTTCCAATCGAGACAGGAATCGCTCTCCGTGGTGGATAGGTGCATCCTATTTGCCGAACGACATCATCCCGTCGCTGCATCAAAAACGGTACCTCGAACAGCTCCATCGTGGTCATCTAGGCATGCAGCGAATGAAGGCCATCGCAAGAAGCTACGTGTACTGGCCCAGCTTGGATGCCGACATCGTCAACTTCGTCAAAGCATGCCAACAGTGTGCGTCCGTAGCTAGATCACCTCCTCACTCTCCACCGGTGCCGTGCCCCAAACCGACCGCTCCGAGGCCACGCGTCCACGTCGACTTCGTTGGTCTGATCGAAGGTGAATACTATCTTTTCGCTATCGATTCGTTTTCCAAGTGGCCCGAGATCATCCAAACGACCCGCATCACCTCTGCTGCGAGCATCAGCATTCTGCGTGGGTTGTTTGCTCGGCTGGGTATGCCCGTTTCTCTAGTAAGCGACAACGGTACCCAGTTCACTAGCGCCGAATTCGCAGATTTCTGAGTTTTTAATGGCATTCAGCACCTCATGACAACCCCGACATGAATGGAAGGAACCCTGGTTGCATTAGTTATGTTACGTCCATGATACTTTTTCTTTGTACCGTTTTAACAACAATCAATACGAAACTAACGATTTTAAATTGGCTCACTACTTGATGTTTGTTTTGATTCGCTATGAAAGTTTGACAGATAAAATGAGGAGTTATTGGTTTTTCTTATGTTTCGAGGGGTGAATCGATTAGCTTGGGACCGAAGAGAGTACCAGCAACAATCAATACGAAACTAACGATTTTAAATTGGCTCACTACTTGACTAGCCTATTGGTCCCAAGCAAACGAACAACGTACCCCATTCTAGTCGAAATTCTAGTACTACACTATGTTTGTTTTGATTCGCTATGAAAATTTGACAGATAAAATGAGGGGTTAGTGGATTTTCCTATGTTTCGAGGGTTAGCTTGGGACCGAAGATAGTACCAGAGCTGAGCCAAAAAGTTGAGCTCGTTTCTTCGGGACCTTCTAGTTTTAGAGTTACCTCTATGGTACCAGAGCTGAGCCAAAAAGTTTAGCACGTTATTTCGGGACCTTCTAGTCTTAGAGTTACCTCTATGGTTTTAACGTGTCGCGTACAAGGGGGGGAGGTGGCTGTCAAATACGAACAATCGTCGCCTACCTCGTATGCCTCGCATAACTGGTTCCAAAGGTAAACAAGCCATAAGAAACCTACAGCGATTGTTTACGTTTGGAGCTAGTTTCATACAAGAATGATCAGTAGGCTGATTTGACAGCATGTCCCCCCCCCCCAGGTCGCGTAATAAAGTAGTTTTATTTAGTGTAACCGTGCGCTTTTCAATACCCTGATGTGAGAACATTCCTAGCTCGATTCGGAGTGCCATTCCCGGGGTATCGGCGGTACAAACGTAATAATGTGTGATACCCAACACCTAGCTCCGAAGTGAAATTTGACCCAGATTTATAGACACATATTCGGTAAGTTGCGATGGTTGGTTTCTTCAGTCGAGTATTAGTAAAAGACACTGAAGAACTCTGGACATTGAAGCCAAAATAAGCGTATCTGTCAAGGAAAAGCGTGCAATTTAGGGTGTGGAAATTAAATTAAGTTAGGTTAGGTTTTCTTTATTAGGGAGGCTTTCAGCCTGAGGCTGGCTCACCTCCGATAAAAATGAAAATTACTAATCCTTCTTTCTTTCTTTATACAGGTATTCCACTACAGATTCCCATACATGCATTAAGATTTAAATGTATGAGCTCAATATTAGGGACACATAGGGACATTTACCCTTACATTAACCTAAAAACATTAAATTTTAATATGACTCTGTTGTGACGGCCGAAATTAGGAAGGAAATAAAACCACAACAGCTTACACTTTTAAACCTTCTATTTTTCCTTATTAATACTTCTTCGCGCAGAAGGCGCATGTCGTCATGGCGAGAGAAATTTAATTACAGCTCGAAACGTGCTCGCGCGGAAACAAGGAATGTACGAAACAAGGTGTGCGCGAGCAAGGTAATGTTATAATAGGTGTATACATATCAAGGTTAATATAACGATATAACACTTCTCCCCCTCGTAAAAAGAAATTTATAGTAAGTTATACAAAAGAAATTACAAATTCAATCTCTGGGGAGGTACGATTACCCGGCTGGATCGTCGTAGAGTCGTCGGAGCACACTCCAACACAGCAGACCGACCGGCCACGACAGTCGAAGAACGCTCCTGGGATCCAGGAGTAGACATTATCGTCGCAGCAGCAGATGTAGCGCAAGGAACCACCGGTGCAGTACCAGTAGCTTCCTCGACAGGATTCGCTGTAGCTTGGGCCACTGGCGCAGAAACCGAAGTTGTAGGTTCGTCGAGTTCAATGTACTCCTCCCTTGGAGGGTCCACCGAATCGCTCCGCAAATTAGCGCCCACACCGACGATATGGTCAATGTGACGCTCCCAGATTCGTCCGTCATCCAATCGCACCGTATAACGAAGCTTTCCAACCTTCTCGACGATCTTGCCAAATTTCCATTTGTTACTCGACAAGAAATCGCGAACACGTACTCGATCACCATCCAAGAACTGACGCACAGCAATGTCAGCCTTGCTTGAAGTTTCATTCTTCGGCAGCAACAAGTCGATCCTCGATCGAATCTGTCGACCGAATACGAGCATTGACGGTGATTTCCCGGTAGACGGATGGATCATCTTGCGGTAGGTAAGAAGAATGTTGGACAGTTCCAGGTTGAGCTGAGACTTGGAACACTTCAGCGCCTTCAATTTCTGCTTGAACGTCTGGACGTACCGCTCCGCTTGTCCATTCGTTGCCGGATGATACGGCGCTCCCATTTTGTGAACTACACCGTTCATCTTCAGGAACCGCTGGAAAACTTCCGAAGTAAACTGGACGCCATGGTCGCTCACCAGGACTGACGGTATGCCAAACGTACTGAAGATCTTGCGACACATGTTTACGGTGCATTCGGCCGTAATGGATCTGCACACTTTGATCTCCGGCCACTTACTGAACGCATCCACGTAGATGAAGAAGTAAGTATCCATGAAAGGACCTGCAAAGTCAACATGGACCCTTTGAAACGGTTCACTTGGTGATTCCCAGCAATGAAGGTTCATCTTCGCAGGTTCCGCACGTACTGACTGGCAGTCAGCGCAGTTCGCAATCAATTCTTCGATCTCCCGATCCAAACCAGGCCACCAGCAATAGCCTCTTGCCAGCGACTTCGTACGGGTTGTACCGAAGTGAGTAGAATGTAATTCATCCAGCACACGTTTCCGGAGAACTGTAGGCACGTACACTCGAATTCCCCGAAGCAAGCATCCTTTTTGTAGAGAGAATTCGTTCTGTTCGATTCCGAAACGATCCTTCGCTTCCACCAGCTGGCCGTGCTTGATGCCTTGGATCAGTTTTTGCACCGTCTGATCCCCCGCCGTAGCTTGACCTAACTCGGCAGCAGTCAAGGGTAGAGTATCGATTTGACTCAATTCCACAGCATCCGACTCCTCAATCTCATTCTGGGGATCAGCTACTCCTAACGGAATTCTCGACATGGCATCAGCATTCGCATGATCCGTAGACTTCCGGAACCGGATCTCGTAATCGAAACTCTGCAAATACGTAGCGTAGTGTTGCATCCTCAATGCAGACATGACCGGCAATCCTTTGTGCTCTCCGAAGATCTTCGAGATTGCCTGATTGTCGGTAAGCAAGCTGAACTTCCGTCCGTACAAGTATTGGAAAAACTTCTTCACGCCGAATATTATGGCGTACGCCTCTTTGTCCACCTGCATATAATTCTGCTGCACACGGTTCAGGGTCTGGGACGCGAACTGGATTGGACGTTCCGTGCCATCTGAGTACACGTGACTCAGCACAGCTCCTACTCCGTAGGGTGAAGCGTCCGTAGCAAGCAGCAGTGGAAGTTCTGGAGAATAGTGGACAAGGCAGTTGTCGGACTGCATCTGTTCCTTCACTTTCTTGAAAGAATCTTCGCATTGGTTGGTACATCTGAATGGAACATCGTTCTTCAGTAGGTTGTTAAGCGGATACAGGACCGTACTCAGGTTCTCAAAGAACCGCCCGTAGTAATTTACAAATCCGACGAATGACCGAATTTCGTCCTTGTTCATCGGCCTTGGCATTTCCTGGATTGCTTGCACCTTTTTTCGGATCTTATGGATCCCTTCCTTATTGATCGAGTAACCGCAGTACTCAATCTTGTCCACAAAGAACTCGCACTTATCCTTGTTCACCCGAATTCCGCATTCATTCAGTCGCCGAAGTACCTCCTCCAGCCGACGCAAATGAACTTCATCGTTTTCACCCGTGATCTTGATGTCATCCAGGAAAACGCTTACTCCATCATTGCCTTGCAGTAGGGCCTCCATCTGCCACTGCCAGATAGCTGGTGCCGATGCGACACCGTACATCAGCCGATTCGGGCGGTAAAGACCACGGTGAGTACTAAGTGTGAGTATTTCACGATCTTCTGGAGCCACTTCCAGTTGCAGGTACGCTTGGACGAGATCAATCTTGCTGAACTTCATTCCTCCCGCTAGTGAAGCAAACAGCTCGTCCACAGTAGGCAGTGGATGCTTGTCCACCACGAGGTTCGGGTTCACGGTCTGCTTGTAGTCTCCGCAAATCCTTACCCGGTTCTGTGACTTCTTCACAGGCACAATCGGTGTTGCCCAGTTACTGGAGTTAACTTTCGTGAGCACACCCTCTGCAACCAGTTTCTCCAATTCGTCCTCAACCGCTTTCAGCATGTTGAAAGGCATCTTCCATGCCTTAAGAAACACCGGCCGAGCACCGTTCTTCAATGGTAGGTTAGCTTGAACGTGGGAAATCTTTCCGATCGAGTCCTCGAAAACCTTCGGATATTTCCCCAGAACCTCCTCCAATGCAGCATCACGACGCGGGGAAATAGTAGCAGCAATCGTATTCACAACACTCGACCCCTGGAACATGTTATTCCAGTCCACCGGCATCTCCTTCAGCCACTCACGGCCTAGCAACGGGTGCTTCCCGGAATTCACAACGTACAACGGCATCGTTATTGTTTTTCCCGCGAATTCCACACGCGCGTCAAGTATACCTAGCACGTCGATGCTGGTATTGCAATAGTTAACCAAGCTCGTATCACACTCACGCAACCGCGTAGTTGGAAACAGTCGGTTCCGGCATTCCGCACTGATGATACTGACCGGCGAACCAGTATCTACTTCAAATCGAATGTACTTTCCGTTCACGGACACGTCCAGCACGAGTTTCTTGCAACGCGACGTCGATTCGACCGTACAAACTTCACGCACTACCGCACTCCCGACGGTTTGACGATCACCAGATTGGTCCACGTAATTTGTCTGGACCAAATGTGGTTTGTTCGTCGATCGAGAGTCAGATTTCGCGGCGGCGGACTTCTTCATACAAACCTTCGCGAGGTGCCCGTCAATTTGCAATACGAGCACACTGTTTGCTTATGTTTGCACGCATTCGCGAAGTGCGATCTGTCCCCGCAGCGATAGCAACTTCCATCGCTCGAAGTTTTACCCGCACTTTTAATTGCACTCGGCTTCTTTTTATCTTTTTTACCTGTTGGGTGGTGCACAGCATGTACCTCCTGTCTGGTCGAGCAGCCTTCGATCTCTGCTCCTCCCTTACGAGAAAACTCCATGCTCACGGCAATATCGCGGGCCTCCTTCAGGGTTAGCTCCCGCTTCTCCAGCAGCCGGCTTCAGATGTCATTCAGCTTGATCCCGAACACCAGCTGGTTTCGCAACGCCGTCTCCAGATACGCACCGAAATTGCACGTAACCGCAATCCTCCGTAGTGCTACCAGGTATTCATCTACCGTTTCATTGGCAGACGCAGCATCTCTGTCACCCTGACGGCGGCACTTGAAACGGAAATTCTCGCTGATTTCCAGTGGCTGGGGGCTGAAGAAATCATCCAGGGTACACAGCTAAAAAAAAGTAGTGTAAATTTCCGTTACTATGATGCACATAAATGGAGCGTCATATATCATAGAAGTTTAGATTATAGATCGTGTAAATTTATGAGACATGTCATGCAATATTCCATATATTGTATGCAACTGTCCACTTTTGTTTGCAACATTTCTTGCAAGCTGCTAGTTTACGTGAAAAGTAAGTTTACATGTATGAATGTTTACATCGCCAGTAACATTCAGAATTTTTTGGTGTGTAGTCACGATCTGCTGGTACGTCTTATCACGGGGGGCATCCGGGGCAACTTTGTCGCAAATGACATCGTATGTTTCGGATCCCATGTAGTGCAGAAGGAGATGCTTCTTCATCTCCGCATCCGCTACTCCGTAGATGTGGAAAGCGGTCTCAAGACGTTCCACCCACCGCATCCACTTCAACTTTCGTTTGTCGAATGGATCGACGGCAAAGTTCGGTGGTGGAAGAGCAGCCGGATTTATGATCGGGTTCACACCTGGATTCGCCATCCTCCGTCGCCAGAACTGTTGTGACGGCCGAAATTAGGAAGGAAATAAAACCACAACAGCTTACACTTTTAAACCTTCTATTTTTCCTTATTAATACTTCTTCGCGCAGAAGGCGCATGTCGTCATGGCGAGAGAAATTTAATTACAGCTCGAAAAGTGCTCGCGCGGAAACAAGGAATGTACGAAACAAGGTGTGCGCGAGCAAGGTAATGTTATAATAGGTGTATACATATCAAGGTTAATATAACGATATAACAGACTCCACATCACCCAGCCATTCAACGATGCATTTAAATTTGTAACGCCACTCATCTAGACAAAAGTTCAGGTAAACAAATACACATACATTACCGGTACCTGCGCATGCGCTTTCACATTGAGCGAAGAGTAGAAAGCAACAAAACTGATAACTAACCTGTCAATGTCAGCTGGCTCACCAGTCGACACCTGTGATAGTTCAACAAAAGCCACCTTCACTAGAGTTATTGTATCGAATCTCGACAATGGACTGAAAGGATCGGTTTTTGGTTATTCCAAGCATACCACGAAAGCAACAATGTTCAAATTCCTGTCTAAGGTAGTCGGCGTCTGCGGCTACGTTGTCCAGTATGGATGCATCACTCACTGTACGTTTGAGTATTTGGGTGATTTTGTTGTGGTAAGTGGATAAATTATATAATTTCGCACTCCGATATTGACCGCTTTGTTTCAGTGTGTAGGCCCGTCCATGGAACCGACGCTCTACACCAACAACATATTGATAACGGATCGACTCAGTCCTCGCTTGAGCCATCTGCAGAGGGGCGATATAATAATTACCAAAAGTCCAACCAATCCGGTGCAGCACGTGTGCAAGCGGATTGTAGGGATGCCGGGTGATCGAATTATGACCAAAGCGTCGTTTAATTTGAACCCACTGTCCAATACGTACACCATTTATACCTCAGTCGTTTCGACCTCGCCGGATGAATCCAGCCCTCCAAATGGCAGCGGCAGCGGCAAAGCAGGGATGGAACAGAAACTGCGACAGAAGGTGGACTTTGTTTCCGGTTCGGTGGATGCCGGCGGGCTTGTCCACCATCACCAGCAGGATGAGCGGGTGGATGTGGAGCTGAACCCTCCGCATCCGGAGATTAGGACCAGTATCGTCACGGTGCCGAGGGGTCACCTTTGGATCGAGGGCGACAATGTTCACAATAGTTCCGATTCCCGAAATTACGGACCCGTTCCGATAGGGTTGGTTAAAAGTCGAGCAATCTGCAGGATGTGGCCGCTGACGGAGTTCAAGGTGTTTGTTTAGGGTTAGTAGTCTAGGTTTATTAGAGTGTTGTTTTCAAAATAAATTATTATCTATGGTTGCAACGGTGGATTCTTCAAAACGAGCGTCCCAATATCACCAAGCCATGTGCGGTTAAATTTTTGTATTAACTTCATTTTTATTAGAATTTTTTCTCATCCAAAAACAAAAACTAATAAAATAATTTTTTATTACAATACACTATCTGTTTTCTGGGTTCTTCTCATTGTTGCTCATTCCTCTGCTGTTTTTTTTTTGCCAGATGATTTCCCTCCGGTTTGATTCATCTAGTTTCGTTTCGTCATTACTTTTGGAGTTGCTACATTCTCGGTTCGAAAAGGTTTTTGTTTTTAAACTATTTTGTTATCAGATTTTCTTCTTCTTCTTTTTCTTTCTAGCCTGTTTTGCTTTTGTTTTCGACGATTTCGTTTTGATCATTGAAACAAATTTAATTTCTCCGCTGTTTACTTTTTCGTTTGTTGATGTCGTGCGTGTGTATGTTTGTTTTTATTGTACACAAGTTTCAGTTGAAAGGTGTTTTTTCCCGTTTGAGCTGTTTCGTTAGTAATTTATCTAATTTTGTCGATTTTCATTAAATCTGAAAATTGTATCTTTCCTTTTAGGGTTTGTTTTTAGTTGTTTTTTTGTTTTTTTGTTTTCCTCTATGGTTGTGAATTTCAAGAATATATAAACTATTTGCTTTTGTCTATGGATTACATATTTCGAAACGGTATTTTTTTTTTTCATCTCTGGATTATCGATTTTTGTTTAGGTTTGTTTTTAGCCGCGTTCTGCTGAAACTGGTTGTTTGTAGAAAATAATCTTCATCCATCAGCCGAAAACAAGAAACATTTAGTTTTGCTGATGAATGTTGAGTAAAGTCTTTCAACAAACGACGTTACTTGTTGTGATTAGGGGAAGTGTTGTGGAGGATGAAGCTCGATTACGCACAGCTGCCGTTGAAGCCGGTTGATTGTATTATGTAAATGAGTAGTTCTAACTATGTTTTCTGGTTTGTTAAACATAACAAATCAACTGACAGGAATGGTTAGAAGCTCAACTGGAAATTATAATGTTTGGGAAAAGCAGTGGAAGCTATGAATTTAGAAGTTGACATGAGAATCGAAAATCTATCAAGCTATATAAGCTATATATAAATTTCAACTGATGTTGCAGAATTAAAAAAAAATGTTGACCTCAGCAGAATTGATCGTTATTCGGGTTCGTTATTTGCATTAAAACAGAATTTGAGGGGGTTAGAAGGAAAGGGGTGACTTTGATCGATTCTCTTCATCGACTTTCTCTTTTGATACCCACAGCTTTATAAACAGATTTTGCGCTATTTTTGCCACATAGTTTGATAAAGGAGGTTCTCATCTAGCATCCAGAACGGCATACGAATCAAGGAATGTGTTTGCAGCTGAATTATTAACGAAAGAGAAAGTCGATCAATGTCGCTTACACCCCTTTCCTTCTAACCCCCTCATTTTAGATGAACAACAATGTTAATGCCCAAGGAACGACGAGTCCTAGTTGAGCAAATTTAATGCATTCTTGATAGTGGTCAAACTGTAATCCAAAAGCAGTCTGCAAGCGAAGTCTACATATCAATAAGGCTGGCAACTCTTCCATTTTCTCACATGACCGCTATTGGCGTTGACGGCACCGTCGAAAAATTGGCTCTTCTAGAAAAGATTGACAGTTTCTTATGGGATTTTTCGATGGAGTGAAAGGATAGTACGAAGTCCGCTATGTTTCACGCACGTTTGCTTATGGATTTTACCATGAGTAAAGAGCTACAGAGTTGCCGTCAACGCCAATGAAAAAGGACAATCGCGTCATCTGCCGCGCTCAGAAGAAAGGATTAACTGAAAACGAAACTAACTCAGAAGGTGAGTTACTTTTACTCAGTTGTGAGTCACTTTTACTCATTTGTGAGTCACTTTAACTCAGCTGTGAGGCACTGTTACGCATTCGTATGGAGAAATTTATAAAAATTTAGGTCACTCAGCGCATGAGTAACTTACGCTTTAAGAAATTTATCCATACAATGAGTAAAAGTGACTAACTCTTTGAGTAAGACTCGTTTTCAATGATATGCGTTTGCTCATTTTTTGCATGCGATGCTTACACCTTCGCTCGAGCGCAGCGCTACCATAGAGGTAACTCTAAGACCACTGGGTCCCGAAGAAAATCATTATTATTTTTGGCTCACTCAGTACCAGAACAACGGTCCCAAGCAGTCCCAAGCTATTTCACTCACCCCTGCATGTTCTGCATGAATCCACACACCCCTGATGTTATCTGTCAAACTTTCATAGCGAATCAAAACAAACATAGTGTAGTAATAGAATTTCAACTAGAATAGGGTACGTTAATCGTTTGCTTGGGACCAATAGGCTACTAAAGTGGTGAGCCAATTTAAAATCGTTAGTTTCGTATTGATTGTTGGCGCTACTATATCTGACGCTTGGATTTTGGCAAATTTGGTATGGTGTCTTCGCTGCAAGGCATTCTCGTAAGCATTTGGAATTATTTTATGAATTGAAAATAAACATAATTACGAAAATATCCCCTGCCAGTTGATTCAATACTCTTGGGCCTGTGGTGACCTAATTGTTGCAACCCGCAACTGATTTTCAATCATTTTCCGGATTTCTGTCAACATTAATTGTCATTATACAGAAATCATGTTGGGTAGCATTCAAAGCTTCAATGGTAGTACACATTGAGTTCTTTGTTGAGTGGTTGTTTTGAAATACATTAAGTTGGCTCGAATCTTGTGATCAATAAGAGTTAATCGTACTTTATGAGCCTATTTCGAGTAGAGTTGGGCAATCCGTTCACGAACTGTTCTAAACAACTACCCAACTAACAATTTTAGCTGCAGCTCAGCTTATACAGCCAATAATTAGCTGCATAAGGCAAATTTTGGCAGTATAAGCTAATCTGCAGCTAAAATTGTTTGTTGGTTAGTTCCTCTAAATGAACAAAAGAACGGCCATTCATTTAAAAAGAATGGTAGTTCTTTCGGAGCCAATAAAGCAAACTCATTTAATGGATCTGAAGGACATGAACTGGTACGATAATGAACTGATAACAAAGGAATACCATAGAGGTAACTCTAACATAGAGGTAACTCTAAGACCAAAAGGTCTCGAAGAAACGTGCTCAACTTTTTGGCTAATCTCTGGTACTCTCTTCGGTCCCAAGCTAATCGATGCACCCCTCGAAACATAGGAAATCCACGAACCCCTCATTTTATCGGTCAATCTTTTATAGGCATAGGTTGCCAAGGCAGTTCGTTTTGAATCCACACCTCTCTTATACTAGACCGAAAACTACAAAATTCCCTTCTACAATACAAATGTCAAACGTCATTGATAACAGCGCCTCTGTCAATCAAAGGTTGAACTTTGAAGCACAAGTGTTAGTGAGACTGCTCATAAATAGTGACTGTGTGTGCGACCTAACGTCTTCTTCTTCTTCTTCTTCTTCTTCTTCTTTCCTTTATTTAACGTTGGTCTCTGTTCCGCAATCTAGTGCCAATCACCGACGGACATCGATTGCCATCCATTGACGGCAATCGAATGTGCAGGAAGGCAGCTTCCACACCTGCGTTGGATATCGCACCCATTCAAACACACATGGGCCGGGACCAACGGCTTTACTTCCCTTCCGAAGGAAGACGTGACCAGAGATTTTTATGCCTCAGAAAAATCCCACCGACCTCGGCTGGGATTGAACCCAGACCCATTGGGGTGTTAGAAAGCAGTCACGCTTACCACTAAACCACCGGCGCCGGCTCGACCTAACGTCACCGAATCGAATAATCATAACACTATACTCGTTGTTGTTTTTGTTTTGCTCTACAAAATTTCACGGCAATTTGTATCCTAATCACAGCAAGCTGGTGGCTTTCCGACTCCAAACCGAAAAACTTGTCATGGTGGATCAAGTAGAGGATTGAAACTCGGATCGATACCTAGTGAAAGTAAGTTTTACTTGTGAACGAGGATCCGAAATATTGTTTATTTTGCCTGTTGGAAGCAATCAATGATAAGGAATTGGAAGCTTCCATCATCATTTAGAAGCTGGTGAAAATTCAAGGATTCAAGAAGAAGCAAGATCCGGTACATACAAAACGATCGCACGGAAGGCGTAGCAGGATCTAATGGTGGAGAAAATGAATATGAAAGGTTGAAGGACTGCAATCCCAAACGGTACGTATTGATAAAGAATATATTTCCATTTAAGATGTTGTCAGAACATGAAACCATCGGATAGTGATCCTCTGTATGCTCTAACAATTCTTGGAATCGACCAACCCCTTCCAGAGAATGATAACAACAGTGTCGGATTGGCCAATGACATTCAAATAGTCAGCGAGTACTGTGCCAAGTTGCCGAGCGTCACAACTTAACTCACCCCGCTGTGGCCAGGTGACAAAGCCGTGCGGAACAGGCATGCATTTTACTAATGCACCATACGAATGCCCTAAAGGGCTCATTTCTACCTATGTATGTGAATGAACTCGTGAATTAACACACACCATCATACACGGGTTCCACTTTTGCTCAGTAGAGGCGTTGCCGTTATTGTCTCCTGTTTTTTGGCAGAGTTGCCGGTCTTATTTATTTTTTAGTCTTCGACTAGACCATAGAGGTAACTCTAAGACCACTGGGTCCCGAAGAAAATCATTATTATTTTTGGCTCACTCAGTACCAGAACAACGGTCCCAAGCAGTCCCAAGCTATTTCACTCACCCCTGCATGTTCTGCATGAATCCACACACCCCTGATGTTATCTGTCAAACTTTCATAGCGAATCAAAACAAACATAGTGTAGTAATAGAATTTCAACTAGAATAGGGTACGTTAATCGTTTGCTTGGGACCAATAGGCTACTAAAGTGGTGAGCCAATTTAAAATCGTTAGTTTCGTATTGATTGTTGACTAGACCCTTCCTAGTGTAGTACTAGAATTTCGCAGCATCTTAATTTCCTGTATTTTCAGACTTGTAGAAAAGAGAAGATCGGAGTAGGCTGTGTGTGCATACGGACGTGACGTTTGTTTTCTCTGTCATGTTTGAAATTTTTTATACAAATTGAAAATTAATAACTTATGTGTGATAGTTTGTCTCGTAATTGGAGCACATTTTTCGCGAATCGAAGTTCCAGTGATTACCTGTGATTAACTTTTTAAATGTATGGCGTCGTCCGGTGTTGTATTTATACTTGGGTGCTGATCCGATCAACAACTACCATAGATGTACCTGGATTCGATCGTCCGGTTCCGGATCGCCACCAAAACCAAACTTCAAGATGTTGGCCAATCAACAGCAACGGAAGTTCATCGGATATCAGCGAGTGCAGGAGCTACAAGCTCTACGTCTCTGCCTTATCCCCCAGATCGTTCCTGGAACCACGGTCAAGCCACCAAACCCTCAACGTCCCATCGTTCGGTGCGATCATGTTGCCGAGGAAGGACTTCATTCAAGTGTTTCAAGTGCCAGAAGCTTGCAGCTGACAAACGTCAAATGGAAATCGGGAATTTGGTTAACATTGGAGGCATTTGATGAAGGAAGAAGCAAACAAAGATAAGTTTAGTTCTTTTCGAGTTTACCAAAATGATCCCTGCTGGAAACCTTTCCCCTCATCCAACATTTCAGCGATATATCGTGGAAGCGCAGAGACTTCTCGGTTTCCTTCACAGCGAGTATCACGTCAACACATTCCTTCCCATTCCCAATTTGACCTGCATTCGGACACGGCTGGAGCTGATATTGCTAAATATTAGATCTCCAGTTTTTACACATTAAGGAGGAATGTTTGTCCCAAACATCATCTGTTGGTTCTCTGTGTAATATCAGCTGATCTGGCAATAACAGAGCAGTAACTGTGGGGGTCAATCATTCTCATGCTCATTATGCTCATGTATATTCAGACTGGTAGAAAATATACAAATCACTTAGCTCGTTTGATTTCGAGATTTTTTTAAAATAAAGTAAATTCTCCATAACTTGATGTCTACTGGCTCGCGATGTCCACTTACTCGATATCCAGAACCATAGTGAACGTGAATTTCTATAGCTCAATGATCCCTTCAATATACAGTTGTTGAGAGCTCTCTGTAGATAGATTCTTAAGAAAGCATTTTTGGTCGAATAAATTTTAAACAAACTCTTTTTGAACTATGTATGAACTCAATGGAGATTTGCGTAGATTCGTCCTATGATAATAATAAAAAAATATACAGATTTGCCATACGAAAATGCAGATTAAAATTTGAAAGAAATGTGGCAACACTTGCTGGAAGGGATCCATGCTCAGTTCACGATGGCGTACTTTCTCCAGCAGAATGAATTTATCTCACCCAGCAGAAAATGGTCGTAACCAAAATAAAGGGATATTGTGTATCAGTAATTCTGTCATATTAGCTTTCAACCTATCACTTTCCAACAAACAATGAAAGCAGAATAAATGATTATTCAGGCAAAATATGCTTCAGCCTTTAATCAGCCTCAAATTGTTTGTTGGGTTCCATCGTTACATCAAAACTTTGAAACGTCAAATTATAACTAAAATATCATTTGCAACAATAGAATGCAGACATAATACAAACATATTTTTTAAGTAGTTACAATTCAATTTAATTTTTAACGTGAAGTTGAAGAAGACCACCATCGCATCCGTTGTTGTTCTCACATAAAACACCAGCTTTCCCACGCTTCCGTACAAAACAACCAGCTTCGAAAAGTGAACGAATTTTCATTGTTTGTTTTCCTATATCTCTCTCTCTCTCTCTAAAACCTTTCCGCCTACTTGTTCTGTTGCAGTGTTTGCTCAACTTCCAATTTCCTAAACCATTCACCTCTGAAACTTTGTCACTTAAATTTGGTTTTACCGTCAGTATTGCGTGTATGATGTTGTGTTGTTTCTTTCCGATCGTCTGTCTCCCTGTTGGTTGGTATGATTTAACTAATGAATCAATGAATGACGTTTTAATGTTTTTGTTTTGTGTTTCCGTTTGTCTCATTTAGCTTTCTTTTCAGTTGACATTTTTTTTTGCTTTAATTTTCCATTGTTTAATTCTCACCCTTTCCTGCCCTACGTTCACTCACTTCTAGTTTACTGCGTTTCCATTTTTGTCTAGCTTTGCTTTCACCGTTCTCTTCTGCGTTCCATTTTTCTTTTAATTATAATTCTGTTACCTTTAATTATTAATAATCATGTTAACATTTGTTTTGGTTAGTATTAAGTCTAACTAATATTTTCTCTCTTTCTTCTGGCTTTTTGTTTGTGTGTGTGTGTGTGTGTTTTGCCGTTTGCCATTTTCGCTTGTCTTCTGCTTTCTGTTGCTCTGCGGATTTTTGCGCTTGGTTTGTTTTTGTTTGTTTAATGTTTATCTCTATCACTTCGTTATTTCTTCCTAGTTAATCTTGTTGTTTTTAAGTAAGGTTTCCCCCTTGGCTTTTATTATTTTCGCCTTTAGTTTTCGGTGTGTGGAAAAGTTGGGCATTGCCATTTTGGGAAGTGCATCTGTTTGTGCCGTTTCATGTTTCCTTAATATTTTTTTTTAAGATATTCAGTCAACTCAACTGAACATTCAAATGCGAAATTTGATGGTTTTTCTTTTGGATTTCGTTATTCTCAGGGTAAATGCTTTTGTTTTGATTTTTTTTTCTACTATCGGTGATGACACTTAACTGAAATGAAGTGAGACTCTCGTAAATGGGTAACGGTTCCAATCGGATTAAGTAAAAAGAGGGTTTCTCTAAATGCTGCCTTGTTGTGATTAAATGTACTTTTGATATAAAATCAGCCATTTTGTTTTTTTTTCGTGTTGACAGAGTACTTGATAGATATACTATGTTTTTGTGTTTTTTTTCTTTTTTGCTTATTAAAACAATAACTAGACATTCGTAACTTTTTTTTCAATATAACTTGTCCCATACAGACGTATCGCTTTTGTAGTAAACCATGGTTCAACTTGGGTGACAATCTGCTCTAATCAAGTACAATTTTTGCTTACTCATTTTTTTGTATCTGCAAGATTATAGTTTTCCTGTGTGTTTTTGCTTGTTTTGTGTGTATGTGAAGGTTGCCGTGTCTTAACTACTGAGCCCAAAAACCTTTTTTTGTATTTTTTTTTGTTTTTTTTTCTTTTTTGTAACGTTTTTTTTTCTTTCGGTTGAAGTAGTGCTAGTGCTGCTGCTGTTGTTGTATTGTTGTTCTTGTTTGGGGGTAATATTAGCTCTTTCGTTCACATGCGCACATACACACCGGCACCCGTACGCCTTACTTAAGATCTAGCTCGCAGTCACAGTCACAATCGCATTCCTCCTCCAAGCACGCCGGACATTCTAGCTCACTATCTTGTCAGTACAGCCAGGACACCGGGACCCACTGGGCCGTGGAATGCACCTTGTCGATCGCATTTTCGAGCGTGGCTATCGTTTCGCCGATGTCGTTGTTGACGATTGTCAGATCGAAAAAGTGCCCATAGGCCTGACGCAGCATGTCCGACTCCTTCGCCAGACGCTCCAGGCTGCCGTCGTACTGGTGGGATGGAAGAGAAATGAGGGATATGTATTTATTAGTGTTTCGAGGCATGTTTTAGGTTTTGTAAATAAACTAGCTGAGGTGCCCGACTTGAAATATGGTTAAATAGTTACGAAACAACTCCAAATAGGTTCATAGAGATTATGCATATCATTTAAGTTTCAATTCCATGTGTATACGATGTTCTAGGGTCAGCAAATTGGCCAGGAATTCAGCCTATTTGATCTACTGGATCAACTAAGGCCTGCGCGATGTCCTGACATACCCAAACATGTTCATAGAGTTTTTGCGCTTCACTGATAATATATTTTGATGTATATAAGATGCTCAACGTCTGTTCATAGAGATTATGTACATGATTTGTGTTCCAATTCCATGTGTATAAGATTTTCTACGATCTTCAAATTTTCCAGGAGTTCGCCCTTTTTGTTCTACTGAACCAACCTGTGCAATATCCTCACCTAATACAATATATTGAGGTATATAGATGCTTGAGGATCTCCAAATTATCTGTTCCGATCAAATGATCTACCACACCAACAACGACGAAACAACTCCAAATAGGTGCATAGAGAATCTCTATGATGGGTCATCATGATCTCATGATGGGTCATCATGATCATTTTTTCAGAACAATGTTTTTTGGTTCCATTTGGGGTCACAAAAAACTGTGAAAAAATTGGGGACGATTAGTTGTAGCCCGGCTTTCCGCATTGCGTTTGAAATTTGTATGGAAATTAGTATTATTATTATTATTTAGCTTTATTAAGGAGGCTTTCAGCCTTGGGCTGGTTCGCCTCCACGGAAATTAGTATGGGAAAACCTACTTTTTTGCATCTTTATTTCTAGGGACCACAATTTTGCACAAACCATGCATCTAAATACGTTAAAATATAGTCCAGGAAGTACCTAACAACTCTGCTCAAAAATGTATTGTACTAGATTGCCCCTAAAAAAGTTATAGCTGTTCAAAGATCAATGTTTCGAATTAAATGCCAAAAATCCCTTTTTCTGCAAACACTGCCGGTGTACCAATGAACGTCAGACTCCAAATTCGTAGTTAATTTTTCATCGTTTGGTATGTTCAGATGAAATATTCAAAAACAATAAGGCTGTCCACGAGCCAGTTGCGATCAGCTGACTTTTTTGTTTACCAAGAACTTTTGACAGATCACAGTAGAACTGGCATTTTATGCTCATATGAATTTCTGCTTTGTTTATGTTTACATTCAGCACCATTAACACTGGATCACTCACACACTCTTGATTTCTAGCTGTTAGTTCCACTGAGAAACGTCTCTTGGATCACCTTATAGACTTCTCTGACGTTTGTAAAATGTACAAGTATTAGTGTAGAACTCGGGGTAAATTATAAGTATTAGTGCAAGAAAACCTTTGAATTTACCCAAAGTTGTGCACTAATACTCGTGCAATTCACAAACGTCAGAGAAGTCTATAGATCTATCTCATATGTGTAGTCAGAGGGGGGATGGGAGGGAGGTTACTCATATCAATAGAAGTAAAGTTTCAAACTGAAATAACTTCGGATTATCTTATCTTATCGATTTGGTATGTTCAGACGAATTATTCAAAAACAATTTTTCAATTTCATTGACATATTAAGAGATGAGGGAGGGGGCGGGGGCTAACTATAACCCCGCCCCTTCTCTCTTATAAATGGAGGTAAGGCTTCAAACTGCAATAACTTCGGTGTTTCTGATCTTGTCAAGTTGGTATGTTCAGATGTATTAAAAAACATGTGCTCCATTTAATAGGCGTAGTTAGATATGGGGGGCTTACTGTATGCTTTCCAGCCCTCACTTATATCAATGAAGATAAAGACTAAAATAACTTCGGAGTTTCCCATCTCTCGAGTTGTTCGGATGGGTTATTCAAAAACATTTGCTTAATCTCATAAGAGCAGTTGTAAAGCGTGTACTACCATTCTCTTCCCTACTATTTCAGTGCAATATACAATGTCAGATATATTCACATAAATTTCGTTGGATTATAATTTTTATATTTTATTTTAATATAGGGGCAATGTCTCTAATGTTGGCCTATGGATCTAAGATTGGGCCCATCGCTAAAAATCTGCTATTTATCAATTTTATCTAGATGAACGCGTTATTGTGACGATACTAATGGATATTTTTGGTTGCTGAATTTATGTATGGGCCCAAATTAGGGACACTTAGGCCGACATTACCTGCATTTCCCCTATTCTACGATTTCTCAGGGTACTCTTTTCGATGCTGTTCTATCCCTTGAAGCAAATATTGCTGTTGAACTAGGTATCGGGTGGATTTCTTGATAAGTCAGAAATTAGCTTCACCCCTTATTCAGCCATATCGTTGACAACCATCAAGGAAGCAACTCGTTGTATCGCATTGAAAAAATCTGTATCATTACTCCACTCTTTTGCCGGTTTTTGCATGAAGTTGGTCGAAATTTCGAAAAGGAATCAGCACTGTTAGAAGTGACATTTGGCTTGGGAGCTCAACTGAAACATAGCCCACTTAAAGTTAGCCCAACAACCGAAATCCGACTGTACCTGTGTCTGAGACGAAACTGGTGAAGACAGTTTTCGTTTTCTCTTGTTTTTGTTTCTTGGCGTACGACTACTTCTGTGTTTTCTATATGCGGGTGGCCCGAATGGCAGTTTAATATTTCAAATAAAAACTTTGTATAGAAATTTAAAATTTCCCAGCTGCTAATAATTCAAACAACATCTCCTCACTAACAAATGAACCGACAAGTGGATATTAAATATTTACACTACAACAATTTTCGTTTCAAAAACTGCATAGAGTAAGCTTTTCTCACCTACCCCCCACCCCGCTGTCTAACAACGCTAATGAGATTGAGCAAATGTTTTTGAATAATTCATCCTGAACATACCAAATCGATAAAATAACAAACTCCGAAGTTATATCAAACTGAACCTATTGATATGAGTGAGTGGGATGGGGTATATTATTAACTCCCCCCCTCCCCCTCTCGAACTACTCATATGATATTGAGCAATTGTTTTTGAATAATTCATCTGAACATACCACATCGGAAAGATAAGAAACTCCGATATTATTTCAGTTTGGAATCTGACTCCCATTGCTACACCGGCAGTGTTGACAGAAAAAGGGATTTTTGGTGTTTAATTCAAACCATAAATATTTGAATAGCTATAACTATTTTTTAGAACATTCTAGCACCGTACTTCCTTCGGCAAAGTTGATAAGCATTGGACTATATTTGTACATACTTAGTTACACGGTTCATACAAAGTTGTAGTCTCTAGGGATAAAAATACAAAAAAGTGGGTTTTCCCATACTAATTTCCATACAAATTTCAAACTCAATGCGGAAAGCCGAGTTACAACCAATCATCCCCAAATTTTGCACAGTTGTTTGGGACTCCAAATGGTACAACCAAAAAAGGGTTGTTCTCGATTGGTGCGGTAAAGTTTGCGTTTTTCCATATGACGATGACCCACTCTGACCAACTCTAATAGAGATAGTGATTTCTAAAGTTATTCAAGTTTGCGGCTGTCTTTCCGTGACTCTCAACAAAACCCGTGTAATGAACCACAAGGGCTGATCCTGGGGACTCTTTTAGTTTTATTTCATATTAGCTGAACCTGATCTGGATGATTACAATGTGAAAATTACAAAAAGATAACAGATACAGGACTACAGGAAATTCTCCCTGAAGAAAAGGAATCACTAGGAACCGCGATGTATTCAAGGAGAGGCAACATGTTAATTCTGTTGAATAGTACCAGGTGGATATCATCCTGATTCAAGCAAGAAAAGTGGATCATGAAATTACCAGTAGCGCCATGCAATTTCATTCTGTTGACATTGCTCATGGATTCATTTGGTGAGTTCATTCCTACTTATTAACACCTGTGATTATGATGGTCATCAGTGTTGAATGGTCACAAACAACTGCCGAATCTGGTGAGAGCTTACCATTTATTTAATTTAAATATTTGTACAGTAGTCGTTTGATTTAGCCACCGTTCGAATTTAGCAACAAAATCACAAAACCGTTCGCTTTTGGCACGGGGTCTAATTTTGGCAACGAGCCAAGATTGAATGGAACTTGAAAATAGTGTGTTTTTGCTCCTTGTGATCAGGCATGGACAATCATTTGCATTCATTTCGTGCATTCATTTAGATTTATTTGCCTCTAACTTTTTTCTTGAACAGCATTCCGCAAAAAAAAAATGTATAGGGTTTTTGTAGGTTTTGTTATTAACTACAACTTTTGTTAACAAGTCGAATCCGTATCTCTTATGCATGACGAACCAGAGTGAACAGAAGCCACTACTGTTTTTCAGTGAATGTATTTTACATTCACTGAAAAACAGTAACAAGTTCTGCCCGCTCTAGTTCGTGATGCGTAAGAGATACAGATTTGAGTTATGAGCAAAAGTTGTAGCTAACGGCTTGCCTGTCACCGTTGGACGACGTCGTCCGCAAAGCCAACGATCTCAACTCGTTTGGGTAGCTTCAGTGTTAGACCGCTTTTTAAAATCACGTTCCAGAGCGTTGGACCAAGGATGGATCCTTGTGAAATTCCCACCGTGATCCTAATCGATCTCTGTCCCATATTTGGCTCGTAGATCAGAACCCGGTTCTGGAAGTAGAGTCGGCCTCCCAGCTAAAGCTGTTGAACGCATTCTTGACGTCGATCATTATCACAGCGTAATATTGATCTCCTCTCCATTTCTATTTCGACGCCTTCTCGGCTCTCTCGACAACTGTCTGGATTGCATCCACTTTTCCTCTTCCTTTTCGAAATCCGAACTGCCTCTTCGACAATCCTTGCTCACTCTCCGTGTATTTCGTCAGCCTGTTTAGGATGATCCTCTCCAAGAGTTTTACGAGTGTATCCAGCAGGCACTGCTACGAGTTGCTCGCTGGTGACTACGTCGTTATCTACCTCTGCCTCTCCGTACGTTGTAGGTGGCCAGGTCGTTGAATCGTGCTTTGAGAAAAGTCCTTCCACGATGACTTTCAGGTTCTCTAAGCACATTTCTGATCTTCATCATCACGACACGGTGTGCGTCGTTGGCAGCAGCGTCTCGACCCAGCTCCAGTTGACAGTTTGACTTGCTCTGCTTTATCTCTCGTTTATGTGCTCGGAACATTCCTCTACGTTCCTCTCTGTCTGCTTCTGTTCTTGTTCTCTGAACACGTCTTCTGGCTCTGAGACAACTAGCGCGGAGGGTGCTTATTGCCTCGTTGCAGCAATAAGCTGGAGACCATCTATCATTTAGCTCCAGTTTCCACGGCATGGTCCTGTCACATGCTCTCCCTAACGATTCTGTCAAGTCGTCTTCCACTTGAGGTCGCAAGTTCTCGTCCGCTCTACTGCCACAGGATTCCGTTGGCCGATGCCATATCGGATTGCCTGATGGTCACTATGGGTATATCCTTCACACACTCTCCAATACATGTTTTCCGCCAGCCACGGACTGCAGTCCGCATAAAGTGACGTCGATAATGGATTACCGTCCATCTCTGCGAAAAGTGCTGGTGGTGCCTTTATTGAACAGCCTAATTTCCAGCTTCGCCAGAGCTTCCAGCAGAATGTGCCCTCTTGCGTTGGTACATCTGTTTCTCCACTCCACTGCCTAAGCATTGAAGTCTCCTCCGATGACTACCGGTCTTCGTTCGATCAGAGCTCATCGGTAAGTCCAACCAGCGTCTCGTGGAACTGCTCCATCGTAGCAACTGCATATGGCGATCACGAAATCTTCTTCTTGAATGGGGTATCTACCCATAACTTGTATTGCAGCCTTCCCAGCTCTATCCGCCACCTAGTTACCTTTATCGGGAGGGACTCGATACAGCTGTGCAGTGTCGCAATAATGGAGGTTTATTTGAGTTACCTCGACAAAACAATTAAGTGTAATTTGGAGCGAAATGCTTGAGAATTCATGCTTAAAAATCAAAAAAAGTTCAGCAAAATCTTCAGGCTGACAAAATCGGGGAAAAAAGTTGACAAATTCGGGAGTACACAAAATCAAGGGTAGACAAAATCGGGAGCTGAAAAAATCGAGAAAGGACTGTAGTTTACATATGGGAATCCGCAAATTATTCCGGGGTGGGGGAAAGTATAGACGCTATATTCATAGTCTGGCGGATAGAATCTCGGGAACAAATTGAGCTTTCGAATAGCAGAACCAATCGAGCAAATCCCGACCAACAACAGAAAAGAGCACATCAGCTATTGCGAACAAAACTTCGGAAACCTTTTTCTCGTGACTCAAGGCTCGTCTACGCAAACTAACACCATCTTTAGGTTGAGGAACGTTTCCCCTATCCGATGATGCCGGTAATTTGCGTTCGATTGGCGAGGAAAGAATAATCAACGTTTTGTTTATAAAAGTTGATAGTACCTTTTCAATTGTAGGTCTAATGTATATTGAATTGGTTCCGCTTTTTGATAGATCGAAATTCTATCCGCCAGACTATGAATATAGCGACTATAGGGGAAAGTGCTTCGTTAAGTTGGCGCTTATGCCCCTGATCTTCTCCTGTTATGCCCCTGACCAACAGTTCCCAAAAGACCAACTCGGGGGAAACTTGACACCTGCAGTATATGTCCTGTGTACCCCGAAAATTTGGTGCTGGTGGTTCTGTCAAACTCACGAATTTCAGAGGTGTTATCTGAATAGGGCGAATGTGGATATGATGTACAGTAAATAAAATATTAGTTTAAAATTCATCTTATTGTCGCGTGCCTAACAAAATGGGACTCGCGTGTGGGACACGTAACGACCAACGTCAAAATTGACATTAGTGACATTGGAAGGCCAGTGATGCCAGCGAGAAATGTCGTTTTTATTTTCAGTCATATGCACATAATCATAATTCATAATCATTTATGAAACTTTTTTTTATGTAACCTCGTACGTTTTTGAGCAGTGCAGAACCAAATGCTTAAACATGTGGTTTGTAAAAAAAAATATGTTATTGTCATCGAATTAATCGAAACAAATGAGAACTGAGCGAGGATACTTTCAGTGTTTTCTACACTATATGCTATTTCTATTATCGTCAATGATGAACAAAGAAAGAATGGAATTGCAGCGAGTAAGAGCGTACTAATTATAAGCTGCTTGTACTACAAAATGTACTAGTATAAATGAGTACAATGTTAGTACGACGGTGTTCTTTGTACATCTGTCGAAGGTCTTAAATGCAAATGCAAAGTAGTTGTACTGTCATTCTATTATGTAAGAAAACGAACCACCATTAATCGGCTTCAATTCGTTTGGATTTATTTCATTTCACCTCGAAAATCATTTCGCTCTTTTCATATGGCATTCTTGCATGTTGTTTGACATCCACACATGGTGGAACAAAATGTTGGTTTCACATATAGAGAAATACCGTTGCGGCAGAGAAGGAAAATCCCTTTGTTTACGTTGTGCGGCGACATCTACTATTTGCAAGTGGGTACTTGAAACAAAGGTTATAAATGTAACCTTGCCGGGGGCTTGCAAAAGACCTATGCAATCCTAAAAAATACGTGTCTTCTCCTAGGAGCAGTTCCCCGCCAAATGACAAATCGATCAGATGCGAGCTTCTCCGATATGCATAAATGATTTACGATTAAACGATTGTTTACGTCATTTTGAAGTATTTTGCGAGATTTAAAATGGTCGATTTTTAGCTTAAATGTGAATGATAATGTGATCCAAGAGACGTTTCTCAGTGGAACTGACAGCTAAAAATCTAGAGTGTGTGAGTGATCTGGTGTTATGTGGACTTTACACGATTGCTTTTATTGACAATAATCGTATTGTCAATACATTCAATATTGACGTCAATACATCGGTATTGACAATATTTCTGTATTCACATCATCAATATTAATGTCAATAATTCCCCTTCGCGTCAATATATTGATACGTGTGGGGTTTGCTTTAATGGTGCTGAATGTAAATATTAACAAAGCAGAAATTCATAAGTTCTTGGTAAACAAAAAAGTCAGCTGATCTCAACTGTCTCATGGACAGTTTTATTGATTATAACAAACAATTCAAGCTGAACATTGCATTAGGTCCTAAGTAACCTTGACAGATTCTCTTCGTCGACTTTCTCTTTGTATCCCCACGGCCATCTAACGGCATTCCCAGGTATTTTCAGCACTCAGATCGATAACAGAAGTTTTTATCTAGCATCTAATACGATAACCACAACAAGAAACGTTTATGTGCTCAAGTTATTAACGAAAGAGAATGTCGACAAAGAGTATCGATAAATATTACTTATGACCTAAGCAAAAGTTTGGGTCTGAAATTTATTTAATTTTGCTATTTGGCCTGGAAATGCTTCTAGAGGTCTTGAAAAAGTTGTGTGGGCCTACCACCCTAATAAAAAAATTAGCATAAATGAACGATATCCCAAATTATTGAACTATTCCACAAATGGTTTGGTTGATATCCCCGTTAAGCAAATTAACCATAACATTTTTATTAGGTAGACTTGGAGTTAAAGCTATCACTCAAAAAATTCCACACGTTTGATCAAAGTGTTTAAACACTTGATTTTTTAAATGCGTAATCACATTTACTTTAAGTGTATTTCACCTTGGTACAATGTGTTATACACTTTAATTTCTAGTGTTTCAAAATTTGAAATGTTGAAAATCTTGCACGATCTATTCAAGTGTATTGCACATTGAATCACATTACTGTTCAAAACAGATGGATTTAACGTGGTTTGCATTTAAATACGATGTGAATTGCTTGCTCAGAAAGGTAAACATCGAAAACAAGAGTTGTGACTTTCTCCTATCAACCCACCTCATATATGAGAACAATCGTTGTACAGTGAGATCGAACGAAGACTCCGGCAGCAGCACACCCCAACAGTCCATGATCGAATCCCAAATCAGACCCATTAAAAAGATATGTGAAAGCTCTGGCCTCTGGAAGGTTTCTTTATATATTTTTCGATTAATTTTTAGAGTCGGTAAAGTAGAAGTCGATATAGAAGAATGTTGCTGAATATTGAACCATAGAAGGCACATAGAATCAAAGTGTGTCACAATTCAAATCCATAGTGTTCAGGCATGGTTCATAGCATAAGATTCACACATGAAATGGATGTGTTTCAATGTTGTCAGCTCGTTCCCTTCCCAAACACCTCTCCACCCCATAAAACACCTTGGAGGAGAACCAGCCTCAGGCTGAAAGCCTCCTTAATAAAGATAAATCAATCAACCCATAAAACACCCACGAAATGATACTCACATCAGCAATGTTTTGCAGCAGCGGTGCCGCGATGAACACAACGTACGGTGTGAATTCGGCTGTGCGCAGTATTTTTAAGGCCTGTGGTTCGACGTCCAGGATTGCCATCTTGCCGTCGGCGTGGATGCGTCGTATCGTTTCCAGCTTGGTGCCGTACATGGCGTCCTCGTGGGTACCGTACTCGAGGTACTCGTTCGCCTGGATGTCCGCCATCATTTCGTCGTGTGATATGAAGTAGTAGCTGCGGCCATTCTCCTCGTCCGGTCGCGGCTGTCTGGTGGTGTCTGGAGGAAGATACAGATATACAGGGCATTAGGATCAATTACAAGCAGAGCAGGGAATTGCACTCACGTGGTATGGGATAAGCGTATTTGTCCGGATACTTAGCTATGAGGGTATTTTTGATATGACGTCTACCGACACCATGCGCTCCGAGTAGGACCAATGTTCGCCGCTGAAAGGCCGGGTCACCCACTGTAAGGAAGAGAGGAAGAGTATTGACCAACTTTTCGGTGGGAAATGGTTTTCATACGAACCTGGAACCTTGACAACCTCTTCGTAGGTCACCAAATCCAGTTGATCGAATACGGCGTTGTGCTTGGCTAGGTACTTGTCCCGGCACTGTTTCTTCTTACGGCTAAATATTGAGCAATTAACTGCTTTTGGTGAAAATTGGGACGAGAAGAAACAAGACGGAGCAATTATTTTCGGTTGGCAATCAATCGTAATCGAGTTTGTAGAAGCAATCAGATAAAATGTCTTGTGCAGAACTTGGATGAAGTGATTAAATATATTCTAGCGAAAAAACTTGAAGCAGAACGAAACTCCGATCAAACCATGCACATCTTAACTGGAAAGAGAAAGGAGCCATGCAAAACTGAAACGTGATTAAGTCTGACTATAAATTTTGCCATCCATTTAACGAAAGATTCAATGGTGCAATCGAGTAGGAGAAGGCAAATAACGAAGCGTGGTGCTAAATTACACCATAAAGGATAGAAATTCCGGCAAAAAACAAGCTGTTGGACAGGCGCCGCACCGGAAAACAAAGAACTAGAACAAAAAACTATTTTCGCCCATTGTACAAATGGCTCTTGCCGTTATAGTTCTGACCCACGCCCCCTCCGTTGATGTAAGCGAAAGCCTTTTAATGAGCCGGTAAAATCGTGACTAGAGGGAATTTTTTTCGCTTCTGTCGTAGGTCACGCAGTGGAACATGGTGTTCTTCGGAAATGAATTATCCTGGTTTTTTTTCTTGCATTCCCTTCCGATTCGAACCGAGAAAAGTTTGAGACCCGCTCCGGAGCGAGAGAGTATGGATGGTTTCCGCTTTTCGAACGGAAGCCAGCTCGGACGGATTCCGGTAATGATTAAGGGATTTTTTTCCCCCGGAGCTGAAAAAAGGGCTGGTGGTGCAAAGTGGAACAGCGATAGACAGTGAAAGCACTTACCGGCAAGGGAGTTGAAAAATGGCTTCGGAAGGGAAGGAATTTGTGCGGTGTCCGGAGAAAGTTTCGGTTTGCAATGTGTTTTTTTTTTTTCGGAACTAGGAACTGTGGAAATGTAGCTGTGGTTGATGGTGCAGGATGCCCCTTCCCCATTGCTGAATGTAATGAGTTTGGAAATGGGAGAAAGTTTGGCGATGGCTTCTGAATCATTTGGAATGTAGTTCTGATCCTATTTATAACAGTGCTAGACATTCGTATGCGGTGAATGATTCAGACTTGTACAATTGTTGAAAGTCTTTCCTGGAGTTAGTTTTGGAAACTTTTAGATAAAGTTTAAATGTTTCCCAGGAAAAGTTCCTATGGCTGAGAGGAATTTTGGGCGATTTCCAAAAGGAAATCGCTTATGAAATGTAGAAGTTATGTTGGAGTCCATGGTGGCTCCAGGGAAAAGGGGAGAACGATTTCGAAAATGTTGAAATGCTCTACTTCTTCTACTTCGCAAGTTGAACTTAGTTTTTTTCAGTTCATGCATTGTACGCTATGTATTGAAAAACCAAAAACAAGTATTCAGTTTAACCTGGAAACTAACGATTTTAAATTGGCTCACTACTTGACTAGGCTATTGGTCCCAAGCAAATCGATTAACGTACCCCATTCTAGTCGAAATTATAGTACTACACTATATTGTTTTGATTCGCTATGAAAGTTTGACGGATAAAATGAGGGGTTCATGGATTTTCCTATGTTTCGAGGGGTGCATCGATTAGCTTGGGACCGAAGATAGTACCAGAGCTGAGCCAAAAAGTTAAGCACGTTTCTTCAGGACCTTGTGCGACGTAACTCCACCACAAAAGCGATTCCTGTCATTTTTGTCATACTAGATTGTTGCTTCGCGGCCGTGGCGATCCAAAGAGACAGTCGATGAAGAGAAACAAGATCAATGCAGATAGGACCTATTAAAAAGTGACGCGACACTTCTTGAAAAAAGTATGATACATTACTTCTATCCACGAAAAACAAGAAATATTAATTTAAATAATGGCACAGGCCGAATGATACGGAGGAAGATAAATACCACCCAGGAGCAAATTTACGGCATTGGCAGATGCGGATACAAAAGAAAAAAATTGTGGGAGTCGCATTAGCATTAGCATCGAACAAGTTGCACAATATCTTAGGTGGTACGAATTCAAAACTATTAAGAGCAAGACGGATATCTTTTACTGGACCGATAGGAAATAATCACTATCCACATGTCCCGCTCCAACAGTTAAGGATTGTCCTGCCTAAGTAACAATTTGGATTTTATTAGGGTTCTGTAGACCATGATTTAGACTTGTAGACTGCTATAAAACCATGATAAAACTTGCAATGTTGCTTGGGTGGCCACGTCCTTACAACTGGTAGGGATAGGAAAGGTATGTTAATCAAACATTTACTTAAAAGAGATGCAGAGAACTCTACGACCCCTCATAAATGTCTCGGGAATTTAGGAATTAAGTTATTAGGGAAGGTAAGCCATACACACCTATCCAGTCAGTAATTTTTACCGAGTTTTTGAATTGCGGAACTGTTCGGTGAAAAATTCAAAGATGCGAAAATGTGTTACGAAAATTTAAAGACTCACTTACCCCGTTTAATGATGAAAAATAAAATTTGTCGAGTTTATCGAATCTTTACGAATAACGGTCATCTGAATTTTAACCGAGTTTTTCGGTAATTCAAAATACCCAGTAAAAAAATACTGACTCCTGTAAAAAAAATCTAAGTGTGTAGGATTCACCCAGTCAGTGTTGCTGGCAAATGTAGATTTTCCTTTGTAAATGTTGAAATTGCTGTCCAGAGCGTCTGCTGGGAGATAATATTGCTGAAATAAAATGAAGACCATAGTTCCATCACAGAGAACAGACGTCCAACTTCCATCAGAAACTTGTGTAAAGATAAGTGGGAACATCGCCGGTCCGTGGCGCTAGCATCTCCTGATTTCCTCTATATTTTTTTCTTTTTCGACCAACTTGGCGCTACCAGCACGTAGTGTCTAGTGTAAGTTGTGCAACGCCAGCACCATCAGGTTGTCAAAGAGGGGTTTTAGGTGGGGAAGTCGTCGTTAGTGGCGCTTAAGTCGAATAGGAATCTTTACACTAGTTTTTAGAGAAATCTTGTTCGAGCCTCATAACGTCTGTTCTCTGTGATTACATCTAAAATTTATGGCAAATGAAAAATAGACCCTAGATGGCATTACAGCAAACGCTTCAATAGAGTTCTCTATCACCGTTAGTATTAGTGATTAGTTTCACTAATACATGCGATTCACTGGTTGAAAAAAAAAACAAACCGCTGTCAAGTCGAACATTTTGACAGCTGATTTCGTGGTTGAAAATAATAAACAAATCGATTTTACACGAATACACTAGCCAGGGCTCTACATTTTCGAAGCTCTAAAATGAACTCGTGTTTTTTTTCTCTCATACATACGTGTTCGACGCTTCATTTCTATAACGCCTAGCTAGACTATCAGCAAGAAATGATAGTGAAAAAGAAGCACGCTTAGAAGGAAACGCTGGCTGTGGAACTTCTCGTCGTTGCTTTGCTCATCGCTTTCAATGTAACTAACGTCGATTTTCTAGTTAAACGAACCTCATTATGGATTTCAATCCCCTTTCACGAACACTCTATCACCGATCTTTCAATTTGTTTAAAATGCGTTATGTCCCGTTTTTGATCATTTTTTTTAGATAAATATATGGATGGAAGATAAGTTAAAAATATTACGTGTAATCTTCACGTGAGAAATGCTTTAAATGTGTTATTTCATTTTCCGTCTTATACGTCATGATGATAAATTGATGTGTTTCATGAAAGAAAAAACTATCAAAGTCGAGCGCTCTTTCGCTCATCCGTTTCACCGAAGCTTGAAAGGAAGACCAATGGAGCGACGGGAGAAAGAGAGACAAGCGATTGAACATTTGTTTGTGCACGCCGACTGAGGTTCTAGAATGCTGCGAAGCTGTTCGACTTTAACAGAAAAAGAAAGCCAGCCAGCAGTCTCTTCGTCGCATCGATTTGGTCGATTGAAGCTGATATCTTGCGTCGAGAAGTCAATTGGTTGTTGTCTATTTCTACACGTTCAAAAAATGCTACTTAAATTCAAGTTTACTTCACTCAAATACCGCAAAATTGTATCCATCCGCAATTGAGCAAAAGTCCACCCAAATTTGATCAAATGTCAACCACATTGCTACAGATTTTCCGGAAAATTTGCAAGAACATGATCGACGAGTAAAACCCTACCCACTCCCGAGTGAAGCGAACACAAAATTGAGCTGCAATCCCCGTCCGTGTAATATACTTGTGCACGATCCTCCAACCTCACCATCGTCTTGATCAGTCTTCAAGGTGCAGCATAGCACTGATGTGCAAGAAGGCTTTTGCACTTACCTGAGCATTCATTCTATATTCACGCATGCACTCAGGCAAATAAACTTGCACCCCAGCATGAGTGCAATGTTTACGTTCGAACATCGCTTGCTTCAGCGTTTGAAAAACATCGTTCGTACTCAAACGCAGCAACGGGAATTGAACGTGTAAACCATTCCATTCAACTGACTTGATCAACTCACTTGAATTGAAAAAAGTTGAACCAAGCTCAACTTTTCAAGCCAATTGAATTCAAATGAGTTGATCATTTGACTTGCTTAGTCTAAACCTAGCTTAACACTGATTTGAAAATCGAATTCCATCCGGTCTCGCCGAACGGTACTTAATTCAATCACCGTGTGTGGTGGTGTCCGGTCGGTCGTCATCAGCAGCAGCAGCAGCAGCAGTGCTTTCGGCGTGTGTTGTTGAACATTGTTCTCCAGCACACAACGAAAGGCTGCCCGCAAGCAGCTGTGGGCTGCAGAGCGTCCATTCACCGAAGAAGGCGGAAGAAGCCGCACCGCTACTGATCGGATTCAGTTGCTCTTCGTGAGTCGCTGTGGGCCTTCTATGCCAAGCGCGTCACCCTCGTTTCAAACAACATACAGCTCGCCAGTCTCATCCGTGTTGAACACCCTAATAGCTCAGCATTACTCAACCATCACGGCTTTTCGGGACCACCATAAATTATTGTTGTTTAAGAATTAATTTTCATTGAACTTTCGCTCGCCTTGCTACCAGCCCCATCACCCCCAAAGCTCTTTGATAATGTACCCAAAAGCCAAACGTTTATG